AATGGATTGATATATAGATAGAGCTAGTACATACAATGCCTAAAGCCACTATTACGCAATGCGTTTCGGGCAAGAAAGCCATCAAGTAACTATAAAAAGGCATATATCTTCACTTTCACTTCAGTTATATTTATGCCAAAGTATTAACATGCAGCTTATATTTATGTCTTTATGATGACATAGAAAACTTCGTTTATTACAATATCTAGATTAAATTAACATTGATCTTCGAAGGTCATAGTTCCTATATCGGTAAGGAGAGCGTCGGCCATGAAGCCTTGTTTAAAGTATGAATATTTTTCCTCTCTAATAAGGTATAATCTCTGTGATGGATTCACAAAAACTATTTTATATCTGCCTTTCTGATAACATATACAAATATAATCTTTATTTGTGAATATTTGTTAATTAAGCAATATATCAGAGGGCGTGTAGGGTTCGGTGTTCAATGAACGAAAAGGAATGGATCACTGTGTACAGGAGGCTGATATGGCAGCAAACACTCTCCAGGCGACCATATTTCTTGGATAAGTCGCTCCACACAATTGTCGCTTGGACCGTCGACTTCCTATGGCGTCACCTCTCGCATATTTACGTCTCATTTCGTTATGAAATTAGATTATTTCAGAGTAAAAATAGGTTTGATCATGTTCTACGTGTAGCACCAACATTATAGTAAGTAAATATACCATATTTCTTCATTACTTACGTAATGCTAGGACGATTTGTGTAGTTTTGGGCCGATTTGGGCTGATTTGGGTAATTCTATGGACTGCGTGTGACGTTATGCGACGTCATGCTCGTTTGCTTGTTTCTTTTTGGGAGTTCTATCCACTTGTTTTGCTTTTGGTAGCAATTTTCACCAGAATAGGGATTTGTTTTGGAACGCTTACCTTTCTGGGTGCCTGACCCGGTCGATGGCAGACATAGAATGCTTCCAACCACAAGGGGGTTTCTATAGGCCATTGCTCCCCATGCCTCTCTGAGGGGGACTGGTTCTGGCTCGTGATCCCCGGTAGGCCCACAGAACTCTATACACATGACTGATGGTAAAATCTGACATTAGCATATCAGCCTGGATAAGCTCAGGGGAGCCAATGGGGCTTCCCCCAGAAAAAAAACAAGTAGCCTAATGGTGAAGAAAAATCTAATAACAAGAGAGAAAAAGGAAAGAACCTAGAGAGGCTACAGCTTATAACTGACTTAGCTGGCTGGTGGGTGAGCTGGATGGTTTGCAGACAGATGATGGGTGGGCGGGCAGGCAAGAAGCTTAAGATAGGCAGATGGGGCAGCCACTAGACAGCTACATTAACAATGAAACAGCTTGCTTACAGAAACACCATTAAAAGAATAACATAACATACTGTATCTGAGAAAGTTTAGATATCCTTCCCCCACACACTTCCTATCCTTGAACCCACACTCACCCTCTATACTCCCACACCTACCTGCACCTCACAGTCACATATACACCCATACCCATCTACCTCCATGCTGTACACATCCACTGACCCACACACACATGCCCGTCTCTGTGGATTATAAAACAGTCACCAGTATAATACAAACGCAAAAGTTATATGGTGTTAACCAAACTTATTTGGCAACTAAAAGAAACATCTAATTACTCCTTGGAAAAACACTCCAGATTTCAACACAATGTCTGCATGCAAGTGAAATAACAAACTTATAACTATGCAAGCCATGAGTTTGTATAGTTATATGCAAACATATAAACAAGTGGGGTTTTATATAATAAAAATATATAAAAATCCAGTTGCATTTGTGGGGAGAAGGAGAGTGTTCAAATTTACAAGGGTTTCCCATGATGGTATGAACTGTGAAGGCTCCTCAGGCAGCACTAACACCTCACATAATTTTACAGTGAAAGTATTACAGAAGTAAAATGCATAATGAGCATACTGTACCTAAAATTATAGCTTTATTTACAAACTGCAGACAGATAGTATGATGACAATGAAATTATTAAATAAAAACAAAGGGTGCCCAGAGATTTACGACAGTTAATGTTGCATATGTTAAAGCTTTACATTAGTTCAGTCTTTGATGAAAATAAGTAACATTCTACTAAAAATAAATAATTCTACTGAAGACAGTGCCCTTCTTACCCATTTCCTGTAATGTAAAATTTTACCTTCATATAATGCCTTATTTTCCTTTTGAATGCAGAGTTTATAAATTACCACAGGAGTGTGGTGTTGCTGTAGACCAGCGGGCTGCCCCAGGATGTGCATCTTCGTAATGTTTTATTGATCAAGTTCAGATCAAACTTCAGTGGGTCAGCTACATACAGTACTCGATAACAATCAAAGAATTCTACAATACATGTAGAAATAATACAACAAATTACAGAGAATAATGTACCAATGTCCCAAATGATAGAACAGTGGTATTTTACTGTTTAATAAATAACTGCACAAGAAATCTAAACATTTATGAACCACTGGTCGTGTGGATGATTATATGGCCATCCAAGATATTAACAAACAAATAAGTATGCATATTTAGTGTTCACAAATATTGGAGAATATGGGTGTAATTCTTCGGCTCTTACTAATGCAATCACTGCTCGTCTTTGTAATAAAGCACCTATTATTTTATTATCTCCTCTGCTATTTGCTCTGAAGACTTGCCTACTGCATATACCTCTTATTCTATTCAAATTTCCACATTACATTACCAGGTAACAAATTGTCCATTGTATATTTAACAAACTCTTCATTACCAGAGCACTTCAAAATCTAAGGTAGCACTCAGAAAATACTAATTATTAGTAACATTGTTGAACCAGTAAGAGGTAAGGCTTTTAGTTTTTATGTACACTAATATTTTCTTATTGATTTTACAGAAAAAGGGACACATCTAGGATCAATAATTTTATTACATAAGAATTCTGTTACATAACAATTTAAATCATTGGGGTTGGGAGGTTTGAATTTGAGGAAAACAGTAAAACTCTTCTATACAACACAGTACCATACCATAATATACACTATTGCCTCGGAGAAACAGGATCCTCCATATTACAGTAAATTATCCACAGCACCATTACACTACTTCATAAAACTACTGTAAGTGAACACTGCTCTTCAGGATTTTTCATATATAATACAAACACATTCACTTCTCTCAAACCTCTACTTTATATAGTGTGAGATATGTAAGATTTTAAGGTTTATTAGCAATATTATATACAGTATAATGAATGAAATGTCTTTTTGTATAATTGTAAGGCTTATTAATACAATACAGAACAATATATATTTGATTTTTATGGCAAATCTCAATTCTTATTGGTTACTTTTTAAATGCAGTTTTATTTCTGCCAAAAATAGGTTTCAAGCAAAAATTGTTAAATTTAATATTAACACATTTTAAAGCAATTGGTCATGACTGTTTCAAAGAACCTGAGACTGTTGGTACCAATGACTTATAATAACATGCAAACTTGCCCAAATTTTTACCTCATGGAGAAAGTTAAATCCCACCACATTAAACCTGGAAGTTTCCTGTAATATAGTTCAGTGTACTGTACACCATAATGGGAAACATACCCGACCATCTGTCTAATAATGATGTGTTAACAACTGCTAGTAATTTATACTGAACCAATACAGGCTGCTTGCCATTACTTAATCAAGAGCCTGATAAATAACAGCCAACACCACAATATTATATAACAAGACACAATCGCAGCACTATGAAACCCGTGCAATCGGCCACAGAACCCATGTAACTGACTACAGAGCGCTTGCAGTTGGCTATAGCATTTTCTTATATATAATGTACTACATTATCTTTATATTATAAATACATTATATATATACAGTATATAATGTATTTATTTAACACTTCAACTACATAACTGCAACTGTATTATAGGAAAATAACTTTGAAAGAAGCGGAACTGCAAAGCATTATGCGTCTGCTACCTGATGCCTGCTGGTCATCTTATGATCAAATTAAAACTGGTGTTTTACATCATCTCACTGCTATAGCAGTTTGTGCTAAACCTTCAATTACCGTAAAAGGTTCAGCATACTCTGGGTTGTGACTGTGTCCATGGGTTATACTGTAAGAGTAACACAGCAACACGCACAACTCGTCTATCAGTATCCTCCAATTTTTAGGGTAAAACAGCTAACAGCACCAAATATAACATATTATTTGTATAGTAACTTGACAGTAATAAAGACAGGAATGACAGTCTCTGTTCATAAAGATCTATATAACCCTCGCTGATTTGTTTTCAGTCACTCGACTCACCCAATGATATTTCATAATTTAATATTTTCTTAATAATATATATACAAATTTACATTAATTAACCAGTTTGGATACTGCATTTACTCTTTACACTGAATGCCAATATGGTAGCGAGTCCAATAAATGTCAAAACTGCTCCCACTGTTGTTACACGAGACTGATGTAATAGTTTCCTTTGCTGCTACTCTACAAGTGCCATAAAGATACAGTACAATGTTATTTTTCAAGATATCTATCTAAACATTATCTATAGTAATATATTTCATTCCCTTAACACTCCTATATGTACTAAGTCAACAGATGCTAAGAGGTATCGCCCTCATATTTATGGAGGCATATAAAATGAAGTCAGGACTGAATACTGTGTCAGTATAACAGTACACTCATGATCAATTTTAATGTAATGTGCAGCAAATATGACTTTTAAAATACAGACTGTAACAAATTTTTTTTAAATCTTTAAACTAATTCAATAGTATAAAGGATAGGCGACAATCCATCATGGTACAATACATTAGACGGCAACACAAGCTTTTAGCCAATGTTGTATCTTACTAGTGTTAAGACAAAATAATTATCTTCATTCTAGAACAGACTGTACCCATCTTATTATCTATAATGTTAAAAATAATTAAGTAAAGATAACATTTTTCAGTATGATCATATTAAGATAACCGGAATCAACATAAGCAGGATCTCAACTTGAAATAATAAATGGCCAAATGAAGGCAGTTATTTATCTCATAGTATTTATCTAAGTGGTCTATGCATAGACTGATGGATTTGACAATTTTTCTGCCACCATTACATCAAGGTCTTCTATTAAAAAATATTCATCTAATTTTTGGATTAGGTTTACAGATCTTGGGTCTTCTCGAGTCAAACTAGAGGAGATATTGTCCCAAGGCTCAACAGGACCACAAGGTTTATTTCTCGTAATTGAAACACTTAGTCTATCTGCTATACTTTAGCCAGAAGAGGGGTACCAAAAGTTCCAAGTGATTACCCTTTGTGCCATCAGAAGTTCACAGAACAGCACAGTACATTAACCCAGTATATAATACACAACACTGACATCCTAATCTTTATGTTGTGGCAGATTAAGATGAGTGTCAACCTCCCTCCATGATTTTTTTTTCTGTATGCATTACTGCTATTTCACTTGCACTCTGGTTACCCCCTTGAAATTTATACAGGTTATATTCTTGGTAACATCAGCTTTGGAACTGGAGCGAGACTGGTGACTGACACTATAACCAGCCACCAGTTATATATTACATCAAAACAACCTTCTCACCAAGATAATTACTGCTCATGTTTACACAGTAGAAGCTACAAGTATACTTTAGTCAATTAAATATTTACCTTCAAGCAAGAAAGTGGAGATTGCAGCATTTTTAACGCAACACAAAGACGAGTTTAAACATTTTGTAAAAAGCAGCAGTAACAGACAGGTTATTAAATACTCTATAGCCTATATTAATATTCCAATATAACCAGTGAGCTTTAGAAATATATTTCTAATTAATTTTGTGACGAAAACATAACCTCTGCATAAAGTGCTAGATTTAGCAGTTATTGCACAAATTCTCCTTGAATTTCACCTATTTATTGCAAAGGTGCCAAGCACTCATACAACACACAGCGAGTGCCTACATTATCAAAACTTATGAGAACAATGTGTGAAAGGCAACCGAGAACAGCGCCTGAGCGCCACCTTATTTCTCGCCTTCAAATCTTTAAAATAAAACAATGCTAATATATATATTCTGCTACTATAATAACTAGTTAATCTCTTGGAAGAGAAATATATGTTGGTCTTACATCTAGTAATGCATAACTTAACAATGGTAAACAGATGTCAAATTGATCGCTGACTATTCACACATGTGACAAGTCTCTAAGAAAAGTTTAACTTTCAAGAAATGTATCAAGAACCCATAATGGAATGTTTTGAGGGGCCACACAATAATAAAGAAGCACTTCAGCCCATTTACTAAGCAAGTGTAGACTCGACAGAATACACAGTTTCAGAGGGCAACTCTTAAAAAGATGGAAAGAAAAGACTAGTGAAATAAATTTCCATTTAGTGCACAAGCGTCCATTACCTGTTTATTATTTCTTCATGATTTTGAGAATCTTTCTACTCCCACAAGGTGACCAGTGGTCAGCCTCTCTGAGTGATTGCCTTGTCTGTAAGCATGTTTGTCTTCGAAGCTCAGTGGCCCAAACAGTCAGACCGATCTGGTAACTCCAGCAGAAACATATCCAATTCTCTCTTGAAAGCTTTCACTGTTGTTCCTGCAACATTCCTTATATTGGCCGGATATTGAAGTTGTAGGTCTCTGATGTTTACACTTCACTGATTGTGCTTATGGCACCCAACATTTCATTGGAACTATTTTGCACTTCCTTTGTATCTCTCACACCAGTATGTTTAATTTTTATTGTGCAGGTTAAGAGCCTTTCGTTCAGTAACCTGCAACCCGTATAACCCCCTTGGAAGGGGAGGAGGTGGGGGGGAGTCCACTCCCATATGATTTGTACTACTGCATTTACATAATGCTATCTAGATTTTATCATATTTTTATATTGAAAATGCATTGTTTATATATTACTGAGTGTCTCAATGTGCACTAAGGTGCATTTTATAATTTGCATTAAAGAAAAGAAAAGAAAATCCGGCAAGATTGAAAAACTGCTAAAACCATAAAAGTTTGAATAGAGTTTGGCCCCATATACTGTACTGTGGTCCATTCTATCGAGGTTACACATACTAATTCTCAGCTTATTACCTAAATGGTTACAAACCATGCATGCATTGTAGATGCTTTCTGGATCTCTGAATGTCTGTATGATAACAGAATCACTGCCTGAGAAACTATATTTTTTACTGAACTGAACTATATGAGAATATGTAGCGTAACAGAAGACTTAAAATAAAAAAAATCATGCTTGACAGCCATATTCATCTCATTATTGTAAAACAACAATACTGTATTTTCTAATACAACCCCTACCAAATGTTTTCCAGTATATCTTCTAATTATTCCCTATTGCATGGAATAAGATAAAACAATTAAAATTTCCCCATGTAATATACAGTATTTAAGAAATACAGGTACTGTTACCTGTTGCATACTACCAGTCACTATTATTCACAATATTAAGCAATTAAAACATAAAACAAACATTCATTCATGTTTTAATACTGACATTCCTAATATTATAACCTGGCAAGAAACAAGAATTACTATATTTAATAGCCACAAACCCTATACTGAAAATTACAATACAGTACATTCAATGTTAATTTCAGGGAAAATTTGGTTGTGGAGACTAAAATGGTCGTCTAGAAAGACTTGTGTTCGGTCTTTCTATGTGCAACTATCACTGTAACTGGCTTATTATAAAAATAATGTTTTTTTCTCTCTCCAGTCATAATGTACAGAAACATAGCATAAATAATTAATTTCTACATATCATAGAGCTAACAAGAACCTCTTGCTCTTAAGTACCATTCACATGTTCATTACATATTTCATACATGCACTTTGCATTTCATACATTCCATTTAAATGTAGGCCTCAATATTCATTTTGTTAAACATTTACATACGAATGATTATTTATTTATAAGTACACGGACAGGTAACTAACCGAACACTAGCAGTGGTCGGCTTGGCTCACTTAAACCCCTGCATTTTTGTTTTAACTTCCCTTAATTTAATTAAGTTTCTAGGGTCATTATACAGATTGAATTAATAAAATTCTACTACAAAAGTAAAGAGGTTGGCCCCAGGTCGGCATGGAAGCATCAGTGTCGGAGAAGCACTCGCTCTCTAACGTGGCGTGTCTCCACATATGTATAATAATTGTTCAACTAACATTTTTGTAGTCATGTTTTAAAATCTTTGTGCCAAAAAGAACATAGGTAATGGCAACCCTTCTCTGATTTTAACCAAACTAATATACAGAATCCTTCAGTGAACGTCTACCATTAGGACAGTTTAAGGAAAATAAAGAACAATAACATCCGTCTTAAGACGATGTGTGATGTACTGTCTTGAGTACACAGTCATTAATATACAAACAAATTACTACACACAGAGGCAAAAAAAAGTAAAATGCACAATGAACAAATAAAAGAGACTTATCCTACAAAATGGAAGTCTAAAACTCATCACCGGGTCAACTCAAAAATATATAAAGCAATACTTTATATATTTTTAATGTAATATTTTATTATATATATATATACTGTATTTATTTATTATATTTAACACTAATCATTTTTTGAATGCTTAACATTTTAATAAAACCAAGAGCTTTCCACAGAAATTAATAACATTCAAATGTTGCATTAGATAGTATCCTTGTACCTGGTCACCCACAATATGGATGACTGACACGGGTAAATACTCCTTGTCCGAGACTCGGGTGAATGATACTCGGCACAACAGACTAAATCTACTATACAAGTAACTTTGCCTGCAATACACATCCCAGCACTGCTCCACAAGTCAAAATTGCTGAGCTCATTAGGGTACCCAAAAAAAGGAAAAAAATAAGTAGAAATAAACATTTCATTTTGTCATCCACTTCAGAAATTAAAACAAAAATTCATATTATTAAACAGGTATTCATCACAAACAAGTAATAGAAACCTGTAGCATGACTCTGTCATAATCGTCACAATTGAAAATAGCCTAGAAGTACACACAGTCACTAGGATTGGGAGGCAATAACTGGAAAAGGTTCACTCATTCCCAGATAACAGGAGTACTTGCCGGAGTAGTACACAAGGCGATACATACCTGGATGCTGCAGCAGTTCATCATTGAACAGCAGCTGAGGAAGAAAGGTATACATTTGCTTTAATACAAAGAAAGAGGCTGCATACACATACACCTGCCCAACACCTGTGTTTTCTTACATTTCAGAAAATTTCTTTACAATGAAGTGAAAACAACAAGAATAGAGTGCTGTAATTAAGATGATGAGTTTTCAAGAGAAGCACAGTATCAGAGATACAGTATAAATAAATATAGGAATAATTAATTTTGCATTGTTATATAACCAATCACTGAACTTTCAACCTTTCTTGTAACTAATATCAACGATAGCAGAATAGTTACAAAAAACACAAAAATAACAAAGGCAACATGTCCGTTAGCTCAGTTGGTAGAGCGCCAGGTAATGACCCATCCCTGCTGGAACAAAGGCAAAGATAACAGCAATAGATCTTGACTAAAGATTACAACTCTTCTGTACTTTAACAGGTATATTAGGCTTATCTTATAAAAAAAAAAAGAGAGAGAATGTAGGAAACTACAGAAGACCTATTGGTCAGTGTGAGGTAGCTTCTATTTATACCCAACCATACCTACTCACACACATGTCTGAGCTACGCATGTAACCATTCTGTATCAATACCCAGTTATTTGTTTCGGAAAGCTACATCAGTGTTCCCCAAACAGTAATTACCACGGTACTTTTTGAATCCTTTTTTGTTGAATCCTTTTTTTTTTGAATCCTTTGAGTACTTTTTTTTACAGTCTCCGTGGTGTAGTGGTAAGACACTCGCCTGGCGTTCCGCGAGCGCTATGTCATGGGTTCGTATCCTGGCCGGGGAGGATTTACTGGGCGCAATTCCTTAACTGTAGCCTCTGTTTAACGCAACAGTAAAATGTGTACTTGGATGAAAAAACGATTCTTCGCGGCGGGGATCATATTCCAGGGACCTGCCCGAAACGCTACGCGTACTAGTGGCTGTACAAGAATGTAACAACTCTTGTATATATCTAAAAAAAAAAAAAAATCAAACTTGTAAAATTTGCCTCCCTTGTTTCATGTTCTATTTTGTGTTTATATGCAGTATTTAGAACCTTGTTAACCCTCTGATTGTATACTTACATGTCTGCAGTATGAATCATTTCAAGGAGTGCACTTTGAACATTTAAATTGAGGGGAAGTTATTTTCGAGAAAAGCTTTAATTTCATCAGCTCAGTCATGTAAAGTTAATTTCATTATCAGGTGGAATGACTACTGCATGTAACCACCATTGTTCATCAACTTCTAAAATATATATAAACATCTTATTCAGTCAGTTTCCATTGACACCCTGGTGTAACTCTTGCTAAAGACAACTTCCAGTTCTCAGGGACGTAATCCAATTAATTAAAGCAATGGAACAAGTGTTATTAATTTGGCAACATTTGTTGACAAGTATAGTCAAAATTAATATTACCCTTATCATATCCCTCCTTTACAGCATACATATATACACTGTATATAAATACAGTACAGTAATGTATTTCTTATACAGTACGTTTTTATATATTTCAATCATGTCCTACTTTATTTTGCTTTTCTAGATAATGTAAATTAAGCATTCAAGGTCTCTGCAATAAAATATATATATTGTAATTTTCTTTGATTTCACAGTAGAGAGACAGTTGATGCATGTAAAGAAAGATGGCAGCATACCTGGAAGGTGCGTTGTGAGGTGTCCCCAAGTGTGGGTTGGGGTATATAAGTGTACGTGATGTACTGGTGCATCGATGTGAAGTCCACCTGGAAATCAGTGTTGTAAATTTTAAGCTTTTCAAATAATTCATTAAATAGTTCAACAAATTTGAAGTAAGCAAAATTTTGATTACCATAAAATATCCAATGAGCATAAAACTAAAACTTGTCATAAACACTAAATTGTTGGGTTTTAATGGGTAGTACATAATTTAAAATTTCAAGCAAAGCCAAATTTAGAATTGAGCAAACTTTTTAAACAGCAATACTATAAATGCAAGCAATTAAAAACAGTAAAGTACAGTGGAACCTCAGTTTACAAATTATTTGGTTTACGAGCTAAATTTCTTCAAAAAATTTGACTCGGTTTACGAGCTTTGCCTCGCTTGGCGAGTTTGATGATACATGTATGGGTCGACCAAGCTCGTGGTTCATGGTGGCAAGGGCGAGGCGCGCTTCAGTTTACCAGTGCCTCCCACCTAGTGACAATCACACTTAAAGTTTCTGTGAAGAATTTCATTGTTTTTCTTCTTCTTTTTTTTGTTTCTTAACATAAAAGTAAGTAATATATATCACGCCGTGGGTCCCAAGAAAGTCAGTAGTAAGGTTCAACCTAAGAAAACAAATGTGAGGATGACGATAGAGGAAAAACAAGAGATCATTCATAGTGAGATAATATGATGTCTCACTACAGAAAAGTGTTAAAACGTAGGGAAAAACAAGTATCTATCGACAGATTCTTAGTAAGAGAAACAATCAGTGAGCCACAACCAGGTCCTACTTGTATGTCTGCAAAACGTAAGAGAGAGAGAGTACCCCAGAAATGTCATCACTGCTGTTATAATGGAAGGGGACTCTCCTTCCAAACACTAACACCTTTCCTCCTCCCCGCTTCCTCACCGTCCTCCATAAGTCAACAAAAGTCATCAATAAAGGTAAGATATAACTTGTACATAGCGTAGTACAAAATATTTATAGTATTATGTACGAAATGTATTTTTAAGTTAATATTTTTGGGAGTGTGTAAAGGATTAATTCAATTTTCATTATTTCTTATGGGAAAATTTGTTTCGGTTTACGAACTGTCTCTGGGAAAGGATTAAATTTGTAAATGGAGGTACCACTGTACTCTATAACATTTTTGGACATAACATTTTTGCTAGCACACTAGTGTACTGTACAGCACATCCAAATGTACTTATGATGGTGGATCTGTCCAAATACAAGAGTGATCAATTCCTAGGCACACAAGTAGTCATGGTTCAAGCACAATGTTAACAAGATAACTTTTAATATTTTGAAAGGTAAATAACATATGAATAAGGCAATCTGCAGAAAGCTTATTAGTTCAATGTGAGGCAACTCATACTTATTTATATACAACCACAACTACTCATATATATATGCTTGCAACTTTCCAGTAATGTTCCATATACTGTACATGGTTACTGTACAAGGTTATTTGGTAACTTTTTCCATGTACTGTACCTGAAACTTTATTTTTAAACCTCACAGACTTCAACGGAAATTCCATCACTCTGATCTGATCATTACCCAATTTCCTAACTTTCACAACTTATTTGTTTTTCTTGGGAGTATTTAAGACTCCAAGAAATGCTTAAACAGCGGTACCTTATAAAGAGCAATGTAATCCCACGGCGACGTGACAACGTCAGAGTCTAGTGTAAACTTGACTGGGCCTCCCTCACCCACCACCCAGGTTCCCAGAGCCTCAAAGTGTACGCACCGCTCCTCATGGTTAGCGAACACCTGTACATTGGAGTAAAAAATGTATACAGTCTATACCATCTATTATGGTGGACATTACTAATAATGCCAATGAAATAATCATGCAAAACATGAAGCAGCTACAAATCATAACTTCAATTCATATTAGTCAAACTATCACTTATATGGCAACCATGCCCCTTAATTAGAAAAATCCTCTTTTCTGGCATAATAACACAGTATTGCAGGAAATTTTATGATGGCATGGCAGCGGGTGACTAAGTGTGAAAGGTTTGTGATGCAATATACAGTAATTTGAATTATGTCATGACACGTTAGGATCCTACTGTATATTATTCAATAATTCAATGTGTCAGGGGACAGCCAGCCAGAAAATATATATTATATTATATCACAGCCTGATCAACCAGACTGTGATTTATACATCAGGCTGCAAACAGCCACGTCCAACAGCCTGGTTTACCAGATGAGCAACCAGGAGGCCACCTGGTCAGAGACCAAGCCTTGGGGACACTGATACTCGGAATCACCACAAGGTAGTCACAAGATAGGTAGCGAGTTCTTCCCCTCCCAACTTTGTGTTCCAAGTTTAAATCTATGGCTTCTTGTTCTTGATGACTCAAATTTAAAAAAGTCTGCCTCCATTTTGTAGAGATCTTTCCTAGTTTTATATGGTGCATATGTCCATCTTTCTTTTCTGTCTACTGGATTGTCATAGTTAATGTCTCCAGCCTCTCCTCGTGGCTCTTGAGTCCTAGATTCAGGAGGGAGTTAAGAGCATATTTTTTGTTCTGTTTCTAATTTATTCAAAGGTTCTTGAGATATGAGTACTATATAATTGGTGTCACTATACATAAGAAGTACTCCATAAATATCAAAATGAGTGTCTGATGGTCAGATTTCTAATTTGTACACCAAAAATATAACATTACTGTAGTTTGATGTATGGCACATGGCAGAAGATAATTACAACAATAAGCAAAGGTGGCCTAACACTGTGTTGTCATGTAAAGTGGCCGAGTTCTAAACTTCTCCCCAGGAAATATAAAGTATATTATTGGTATCACAACCTCTTCAGAAGCTACCTGATCAACTAGGGTGTGGCAGCCATGTTGATGACCAGACCAGACACTAGAATGTGAAGGGACGACGACGTTTCGGTCCGTCCTGGACCATCAATCGACTTGAGAATGGTCCAGGACGGACTGAAACGTCATCGTCCCTTCACATTCTAGTGTGTGGTCTGGTCATCATACTTTAGCCACGTTATTGTGACTCATCGCCTGCAGCCATGTTGTCTTACATGGATGAAAAGCAACAATCCGACTGATCGTGAAACCAGGAAATCTTGGCCTCAGGAAGTCTGTTACAAGAGTATAAGACCTTCAGGTAAATATGAGTGAATTACAATGTGTGTACAGTACAGTACAGTATTTGGTTAATATCATTGTTCATCTGAATACCTTTATCTTGTAAGTAGTCATGACAGGCTTGTGGTCAGATTGGGTATAAGACTCGATTGGACTATACGATGTTTGCTCAACTCCCAACTTGACATTTTCATAGGCATCTACATGAACCTGATGCAGAATTCGATCAGTCCAAGCCGGTCTTCGTCTGAAATAAAATATTTATGAAGATATGATTCAGTACAACATTTTGAGCTGGTTTATTCATACCACTGCAAGTTAATTTTAATGCATTTATTATGGCAACTTTCTGATTTTCTCCAAATTGATATACTGTATGCTGCTAAGAATAACGCAACATAAGATATTTATCGATTACTTTTATAAAATATTTTGAGTTATTATACAGGTAATAACATGATAGCAATTTAGTAAATGATGGATATATACATCATAGGGATTAAAATAGCATTCTGTATACAGTAGCAGGTAATTATCAAAAGAAGGTGCAAAGCATGAAGATATGAAAGTATATTTACATAATGTAATGCTCAATAAACAACCGAGAAACAATAGACGAGAGTCGTCCATAATAAAGATTACAGAATAAACTTTTCTGTGATGAGAAGCACATTATTAGAAAACATAACAATTTCAAATCTGAAATATTTAATTATACACCAGTGCTCCTACTCCTGGAGTGTGACAATTTAGCCTTCCAGGGCTACTTTATTCTTCTTTCCTTCCTTCAAATTACTTTCAATAGTTCTATCCTAGTGAAATAAGACATAATATAGAAATTACTAGGATAATAATTTCAAGTGATGGAGGAAAAAAAAAGGATGATCACCATTTTGTAGAAAGTTGCACTTTCTACAAAAAGTTACTTACGAAAAATCATATTTGTCAGTTCCTTCTATATACTTGTAGGTTGGAGGGAAGGAAAGGGCCCCTTCCTTCAACATAGAAAAGGCATCTCCACTTTTCTGCGCTTTCCGCATTTCATCTACGTCTTCTAAGGCAGACCAGTTAGCTTCAGATATGTGCTTGGCAATAGCCTCTGATGTCATATGGGATTCAAACCGGAAGTTCATGTCTCCTAACCAGAACACATAACTGTAAATAAGCAACTTTAAATATGTTTATATATATTATATGGTAAATAGCATTTATGAAGTAAATTCTCAGAATTATATTAGGCAATTTTATAATCTTTTTAACTTAGTCAATGCTTGGTTCCCTGCGAGTTTGAATAGAAATGCAAGTCATCTAAACCAGTTGTTGGTCTAGGTAAGAAAGGGCAGCACCCTGTCAGTAATGCTTCTTCATTGGAAATGTCTATAATGATTCATTAGACTATGGCACTGATTAAGTTGGCTCTCCCATTTTCCAGAATGCATCCCAAGAATTAAACAGAGTATGCCTGTACCATTCATTCATTTAAATTCTCTTTAAAGTATAATTTTTTAAAAAGCAAACCACTTACTCATGATAGAGAATATTGCTAGTCTCTTTGATTGGGAATTCAGTAGAATCAACAATGGTGTTGAAGTTTTCCACACGTTCTTTATAGCCAGAGTCGTGGGCAGCCAGATGACAGTTGACGATGCAAACGGAACATCCATAAAGTGAGAATCTGATGCTCGTTGCTCCTTTGTTACCCTGACAAGAATAAATTAGGCTTAGAGTGTATATTAAAACCACTTTCCAAGCATTGAATACTGTTACTCCCTAAAGAAAGATTTAATGGGGCAAAAAGGCATCCTACACCAATGTATTGGGAATCTTTTCAAACTGTCTTCATTTGATCATACTGATGCCAAGGAGACACTGGAGAATACTAAATCCAGCCAAGAATGCAGACAGAAATTTCATTTTTACCCCCAACTACCACCAGGTGGCAGCCTCCAAACTTTTTGTGCAGCAGTAGGAGAAAGCACAAAGTCGGAATAACTATACTGTATAGCACATGGAAGGGATACAAGGTCAGGATATAAGCCGAGATCAAACAGATTGAAGGAATGGTGCCCCGCCACTTGGACTATCAGGGATTAAACTCCGATTTGTTAGAAGTGAGGGCATAGCTTTACCAACCACTCCAAGTGGATGACTGCACCCAAACCATAACAAAGCCTCCAACCCAACCTCTCCACATTCTACCTGAACCCCAGGCCCAAGGCCAGTACAGTACCTAAGTACAGTACACGACTGTAAAAATAACGAAAGGACAGAAAATAGTTTTATCATCAACTTACAAAATGGAGCATGTTAAAGTAAGTATGTAATAAAGTAAGTATGTAATACTAAAGCAATTAGAGATAGATCTGGAGGTTTGTCTAATAACATGATAATGTCATACAAGACAAGATTGGATGGTAAAAGCATGTTGGTGCATCACCAAGATGTAAAAACCGAGAGAATTAATCAAGAAGTTAAGAGAAAAAGACTTGACTGAGAGGTACAAATAAAGAATTTATTTGTACCTCTCAGTCCAAATAAAGAATTGATAGTGATCTTCGATCAAAGGATTGTAACCAGATAAACAAGGAATGTTTAATTATAGGAAGATACAGTATATTAATTTTCACACAACATTAAGGTAGTTAAAGTTGTTCTCACTTTAAACAAGTGACTATATTATACCCAGATTGTAAAAATGGATCCTGGTAGTACAGACGGGTTCTTTTTGAACTCACAAATGAGAATTCCAGGTTCGAATCCCAGGTGGGACAGAAATGGTTGGGTGCATTTCTTATCACCTAATGGTCCTGTTCACCCAGCAGTAAGTAGGTACTCTGGAGTTAGTCAGCTTATTGTTGGATTGCATCCTGGGTGGGGTCAGTAATTTGACCTTTGAGAGGGACCTCGATATAATTTACCCGAAGGCCACTAACACTAGTGTCCTCGACGAGGACAGGAAGCCAGCAGCTTGTTGAAGGTCCCCTCTACCATTCGCCTTGATCTTTTCCAGCTGGACTTTAAAATTTAACAGAGTTTTGTCATTTATGTCTTCAGTGAGTAGGTGGTTCCATTGGTTTATAACCTTTATATAAGCCTAATGTATATGAATACACTCACACACATATGGGCTACCTGTCTCCTGGTGGCTTCTCACGAGTTGTCATTCAATAATGTCATATGTTGCTTCTATATATTGTACAGTATTGTGTATAAAATCTAGAGAGCATTAGACATACCCAAAACCCTCCAAAGCCAGTCCGAACGACAGAAGTATGAATGTCTCTTATGTTGTGGAGATGATGCCGCTTGACAAATATATTTGTGACTAGCCCTTGCAGACGCTCGCCAGTAACTCTCACATAGTTGTGTGGGCCAACAACTTCCCTTAGCGCATTTGTCCAAGGCTCCTCAAACAGAGTGTCCATCACAACATTTTGAGGTTGTGATTTAACTTCCTGAAAGCTACAGAAAGGACAATATTAGTAGTGACAAACTGTGACCTGGACAAATACATTATAAACTCCAACTATGACATTCTTAGTATTATGCAAAATAAAAAGGATACAGTATATACAATAATAAAATGCCTTGCAAAATATAAATACATGTAGGCTATATCAAGACCTAATAGTCATATTTTTTTTACAGTAGTTTTACTTTAACAGGAAATAATAAAGATGGTGAAGTAATTAATACAATACTTACATTAATGTGGAATAAACAAAAACAAATCTTATAATAGTCTCACCACACAATGTACAAATCTGGGAGACAACTATCCAAGCCTCGTTTAATAATGGGATCTTTGCGAATTCCCATTAATTCATGCAGGTCTTCTTCAGGCCAAGTAGTCTCCACATTCCAGGATATGCATGCGATGCTATGTGGGAAGAATGAACAATAATTGTAATTATAAAGATAACATTGAATGCTGCATCACTGCTCAAAAGTTCTGTGAAAAACATAGAAACTGCATACATGTTTACTGCAGTTTCATTAATACTATTGGCCTTTGTTCTGCATAACAGATGCATTCGTAGAAAACCTTGTGTAAACACAGAGAAATGCTACCTTATATAGAATCATTTTGAATTCATTCAGTCACTGTCAAAAGTTTACCTGTTTTTACTCCTCTTGTAATGACTGGTATGTAATTTTTAGTTTTGTTTTATTAATCTAAACATTTTGTTTTAGGTAAATTATCAATTTGCTTTATTTGTAATGTTAACTTTTAAGTTTAATTTGATTGTGTTTGTAAGATATACCATATAACAATAAAGAGTTGATTTCCTTAATAAAGTATTAGTTTTCAGGTAATCCAGTGATGCAGATGAAAAAGATTCTTCAAATATAATGGAAACTAATAATGCCATGTGCTGGACTGATGGAATATATTGACAAAATTATCAAACATAAGGATAGATTAAATAGAAAATATATTTCATTCATATTTCTTTCAGCAAAGATCGTTAAGTCAATCGATCGACAATCGATAAGCTCGACAATCTTAGCAACACTTACCTAAGGGTCTCCATCGTTGTTGCTCCAGTGTAGATCAGGTCACTGCTCAGTTGAGGGAGAGAATGAGAGATAATGTACTATATATACACTCAAGGATGCATTTAGAACGTTATCAGCAAAACTATTTTTTTACTTTAATATACGTTACTAACAACAGGAAAGTGACATAACAGTAAATTTATCTTATCTGTAACAGGATTGTATCATTGGCATGGGTACATCTCTGGAGAAAGATAGAGGCTGGTAACCTAGTGTGAGGGTTATATATACTGTTTATGTAGTTACCCAAGTCTAACTGTCTCAGTGTAGTCACAGGATGAGAGCTACACTTCTGGTGCCCTGTTTAGTGGTGTCCTGTTGGCCTATGCTAAATAAACCACACTGTGTACCAATTACCTTTCACAGTACTATATTTCTGAAACAGCCAAAAGGGTGAAAAATCTAGTAACCTGTCATGCACTTGGTGTGTTTTGTTATACTTTTTCAGTCTTCTTGGTGCATTAACTGTTGCAATAATTCATTATGCAATACTCTAGCCTCAAAACACAAAATTGCTGACTAAAAAATCTGTTAGTCACGGCTGTATTTCACTACTTGATTTCTGAATTTTAGAGATGGGTAGGAGAGAGTAGCTAAGGTTCACCCTGGGGTTAGGAGTGTTAATCTCAGTTACTGCATCTCAATAACTATCTGTAGTGTACAGAGGCTGACCACACAATTGATCAACCCAAATGTGGCAGCAAATGTGACTAGATTAATGGGTCCCGGTAGTACAGTCGGGTTCGTTCTCGACACACAATCAAGAATTCTGGGTTTGAATCCCGGGTGGGACAGAAATGGTTGGACACATTTTCTTTTCACCTAATGCCTCTGTTCACCTAGCAGTAAGTAGGTAAGTTAATCAGCTTGTTGTGGGGTTGCATCCTGGGCAAGGTCAGTAATTTGGCCTTGGGATACTTAGATAAAAAAAAAAAAAATGTGTATGAATACACTCTGGCTTCCTGTTCCTTGACACAATGAATTATTAAAGGGGAATCAAAGTGCACATGACTGAAGTGGTAACAAAACTGTTTTTTTGAAGTTGTAAATCTTATTTTCCAGTTGTATACAGCACTGAACTATAGCATTTAGCAGAATAAGTACAGTATCCAGAGTTTCTGGGAGTAGTACACATAGATGTGAATGGAATTCAAACCAAAATCGTAAAGGGCCTGGCCAAAGAACTGTTTCTCCCACTGGAACTCCCATTTAGAAAATCTCTGGATGAAGGGAACGTTCCTCTTAGATGGGAATTATGGAAATGTCACCCCCTATCTTCAACAAAGGCTGGAAGAACTCAGCAGGAAATAGCAACCATATATTATATATATATATATAATGTATAAATTAATTCATAATTCATTGTTTCGAGGTTATCTTGAGATGATTTCGGGGCTTTAGTGTCCCCGTGGCCCAGTCCTCGACCAGGCCTCCACCCCCAGGAAGCAGCCCGTGACAGCTGACTAACACCCAGGTACCTATTTTACTGCTAGGTAACAGGGGCATAGGGTGAAAGAAACTCTGCCCATTGTTTCTCGCCGGCGCCTGGGATCGAACCCAGGACCACAGGATCACAAGTCCAGCGTGCTGTACGCTCGGCCGTCCGGCTCCCCCCAGAGACAGCCAGAGTATATATACATAGGTTACATCGAGATTCCCCCCAAGGTCAAAATACTGAACCCCCCCCCCCAGGATGCAACCCGACAGCAATCTGACTAACTCCTGAGTACATACATACAGCTAGGTGAACAGAGGCATTAGGTGATAAGAAATGGGCCCAACCATCTCTGTCCCATCTGGTATTCAAACTCAGGACTCCCGATTGTGAGTAGTGAACAAAGCCAACTGATACATCTTCAATAAAATCTTCTAGATCTGAGGCAAAGTGAAATTGACACCAGTAATTCCATCTATCATCATACTATCATGCAAGAGGAGCCACACATCTATGGGTCATCCAATAAAATCAGCAGACTTCTAGATGTTACTACTGCTCGGCTTAGACTCGGTTACAAGTATCTCTGGGAATTCTCATTATCTGCTGATGTAGACCTGACCAAATGTAAACTGTGTCAACAAAATTATTTGCACACCCTCCGTCACTATGTGATGGAGTGCGAAAAGATACGTGAATTTAGAGACAATTCTATAACCAATGTTCCAACGATGTGTCAATATTTCATTCAAAATGATCTGCTACCAGAAATTTTAGCCAAATATCCCCAGTTTGCTAACTGTAGGTAGTAACTAAGTGATTGTAACCTATCCACCGCTGCCCACTGGATGGGGGGCGGTGTGCAGGACAAACATATCAATTAACACTAGCTCTCCACATACGTCAGTTGCTTGATTTAGAAACTGTACTTGTGGTCGATCTCGAGCCCACTGATGATGTAACGACGTGTATTGAATTTTGTAACTAGCTCATCAAGACTGTAACTTGCTTAGCTAAATGAATTGTGGGGTTTAGTCCCTGAGCCCATTATGTAACTCTGTAATCCTTTCCACTATACCCCATAAGATGAGTATAGGGTGCATAATAAATGATCTAAACTAACTAACTACCGAGATCTTTTACTTGTACAGTTGTGGGATAATATAACAACAAACCAGGTAGAATGGGGCCATTACCCCCCAGGGAGGGATTCAACAGCTTCCATCACCCCCACCAAACATGATCCTGACCCACTAGTGTGCCACCACTCCCACCTCCAGCCACAGGTCCCTCTAACACAACAGTGTGTGTGTGGGAACACCTCCTACCAGGTGACACGACCAGGTGACACGGAAGGTGAGGGAAGTAACCTGCCCGACTGATGACAACACTAGTGTAAACACAGCTGGGCCCTCCTCACCTGTCTCTACGTCTCCCAGGATGGACGCCACCATCACTTTATTCACCTCCCAGGATGGACGCCACCATCACCTTATTCACCTCCCAGGATGGACACCACCCTCACCTTATTCACCTGCCAGGATGAATGCCATACACTTGTGCACTGTATCATTCTCTTAGTAAATGTTAATCATAATTATACTTAATATCTCTGTCAATCACACGACTAACCACGCACCAAAGGATTATACAACTTAAACATTGGTCTCATTCAAGTTCCAGTAAGTTTATTGACATAAGAAATACATCACAAAAGGATAGTCGAGTAGGCTATAGGGTATTTCTGCTCTCCTTTATTATAGGTCCCTCAAGGGGCTCACAGCACACAAATTGTAATTATATTTTATGTGAGGATTACATTTACATTAAAAGTGATAACTAATGATGACATGACAATGGGAAACAATATTAATTCAGTAAGTATTTTTACATTTAATTCATACAGAATACAATTATCAAGTTTTGAACAAGTTTCAAAATATTATAAATTATAAGACATACGAGTATAAAACATAGGTATTCTCATACAGCAAAATCCTGTGTGTGTGTGTGTGTGTGTGTGTGTGTGTGTGTGTGTGTGTGTGTGTGTGTGTGTGTGTGTGTGTGTGTGTGTGTGTGTGTGTGTGTGTGTGTGTGTGAGTGTGTAGCAGAGAGGGAACACCAATAACAAACAAACCACCATATTCAGTACAATTCAGTATGCAATATATTGCCGTAAAATGCAAAAACATTAACAACAGTAGACTCACTCACAACAGGCACTCAATAAGAATAGTGGAGAGGGATTTGGAGGTAGAGGTAGAGGTAGAGAGAGAGAGAGAGAGAGAGAGAGAGAGAGAGAGAGAGAGAGAGAGAGAGAGAGAGAGAGAGAGAGAGAGAGAGAGAGAGAGAGAGAGAGAGAGAGAGAGAGAGTAAGTCATATCTGACCTGAATTTACCTGTAATTTACGAGAATTATTTATAAATATGAGAGAAGGAAAGGCCATACCATAGACCAGAAATTTACATATGAAGGGAATTACTATTGATTTATGGCTAGATAATACAAGATATGCACATATTTATCATCATATTTCAGGATAGAATTATATCACTATATTCCAGTATATGATCAATAAAGCTTCACATCATAGAAAACGTCCCCATACTTACCAAAGAATGTATTTGACTCAAGAGTATCGGCAAAACATTATTACACTCATAAATAAATGGATTAAAAAACGTCTATCAGCATATGCAGTGACTGGGCACTGCACGACTGGACGCTCGCAGCAGTGACAGGCAGTGGAGGAGAAATGGGTTTAGTATGCATAGAATTATTAGTATCTCATCATTCTTTGCCTTATGGAATACTACTAAAATATTTCATATTTCAACACAATTGTTCTCTCATTTGATTAAAATAAACAGAATACTGTATGCTTACAATTATACTCATATACGACAAAGAGATGAATTATTTTATTTAACATGAGTACACACAGGAACTTTGTAACACAGCATCAACATGGGTTCAGGGATGGCAGGTCCTGCCTCACAGGGTTACTTGAATTCTACGACCAGGCAACAAAAATAAGGCAAGAAAGAGAAGGGTGGGCAGACTGCATATTTTTGGATTGTCAGAAAGCCTTTGATACAGTGCCACACAAGAGGCTAGTGCGAAAGTTGGAGATGCAGGCTGGAGTGAGAGGGAAGGTACTCCGGTGGATAGAGGAATACCTAAGCAACAGGAGACAACGAGTCTGTGTGAGGGGTGAGGTCTCAGATTGGCGAGACGTCACAAGTGGAGTCCCGCAGGGGTCAGTCCTTGGACCTATACTGTTTCTGGTATATGTAAATGATCTCCCAGAGGGTATAGATTCGTTCCTCTCAATGTTTGCCGACGATGCAAAAATTATGAGGAGGATTGAAACAGAGGATGATAGTAGGAGGCTACAAGATGACCTGGATAGACTGAGTGAATGGTCCAACAAATGGCTGTTGAAGTTCAACCCGAGTAAATGCAAAGTAATGAAACTAGGAAGTGGAAACAGGAGGCCAGGCACAGGATACAGAATAGGAGATGAAGTACTTAATGAAACAGACAGAGAGAAAGATCTAGGAGTTGATATCACACCAAACCTGTCTCCTGAAGCCCACATAAAGAGAATAACGTCTGCGGCATATGCGAGGCTGGCTAACATCAGAACGGCGTTCAGGAACCTGTGTAAGGAATCATTCAGAATCTTGTACACCACATATGTAAGACCAATCCTGGAGTATGCGGCCCCAGCATGGAGCCCGTACCTTGTCAAGCACAAGACGAAGCTGGAAAAAGTCCAAAGGTATGCTACTAGACTAGTCCCAGAACTAAGAGGCATGAGTTATGAGGAAAGGCTGCGGGAAATGCACCTCACGACACTGGAAGACAGAAGAGTAAGGGGGGACATGATCACAACCTACAAAATCCTCAGGGGAATCGACCGGGTAAACAAGGACGAACTTTTCAACACTGGTGGGACGCGAACAAGGGGACACAGGTGGAAGCTGAGTACCCAAATGAGCCACAGAGACGTTAGAAAGAACTTTTTCAGTGTCAGAGTAGTTAGCAAATGGAATGCATTAGGAAGTGATGTGGTGGAGGCTGACTCCATTCACAGTTTCAAATGTAGATATGATAGAGCCCAATAGGCTCAGGAATCTGTACACCAGTTGATTGACGGTTGAGAGGCGGGACCAAAGAGCCAGAGCTCAACCCCCGCAAGCACAATTAGGTGAGTACAATTAGGTGAGTACATTATATATATATATATATATATATATATATATATATATATATATATATATATATATATATATATATATATATATATATATAATGCTTATAGATTTGAATTAACTTACGCAGACAGTCAGGGAGAACAGTGAGGGTCCAGTTGCCGTCATGACAAGTGACGTTGAGAGATTTGTTGCCATGAATGAAGAGAGTGTCACACGTGTAGTTGGCCAGGGCTCCCCACTCGTCTAGCCCCGTGTAGTCCCTGGTCACACCTGGTCCCGGGAGTGGGGGAGGCGTGGGGCACACTGCACCACCATGTACCCCCCCATCACCACACACATTCCCACCAGGATGGACACTTATTACTGTGAGCTCACGCTCTATTGATAAACTTATATGATAATAATGAGTTACAGTATTTGGTTCGTAAATATTCAGACATTATACATAAAAGCTATAACAAACTTTTACATCTTTTAGGATGCATAATGATATGCATCTTGTTTTGAACTTGTGTACACACATCAATGAAAGTAAGTGTAGGATTGCTCAAGATACAATTTTTCAGTTTTCTTACTAGCTAAAATACACGCAAATTATATGAATTTCATGTGAAAAATTTATATATATGGCCTAGAGTCCTAGACTGTATAGGCTCATTAAATCTAGTGGCTAAATGACCAGTGATTTTTAGGGGAATGAAATCTATTAAACACAGAGCTATGCTCCCCTTTCCCACCCCCTCACGTAAATAAACAAAGAAACAATCAAACACACACACATCTGCATGTGGGATAAGAAAGATTGATATGCACCATACACATATAACTTCTCTCATACTGACAAACAGAGCCAAACATGCCACTGAAATACTTTCTGTAACAATATATTGTACGAGCTTCATCAGTGTACAGAAGCTAGTCAATATACGAATACAAATTGTAGAAGACAGATGGATAACCTACATTTACAAATTGGAACTTCATGAACGGACCAACCCTGGTCAAGACAGGTGATATTGAAGGTGGTTAAGTTTGTCCCAAGGAAGCCCCCAAGACAGGTGTAGACACCCTCGGTGTCTGTCACCGGTGCCCCGTCTAAGGCGAGAGTGGCCCTCAGGGGGCTGGCAGGTGGCGGCCCACACTCTGCAAACAGAAATGTCAGTGTGTTATATCTGTGATGCTCTCTTATCTCAGGGGGTTATCTTGGGTCAGCCTCGTCGCTGAGACAATGACTTAGCAGCCTTTCACAGCCATTTCACTCTTTCAACATCCTTCAATCTGAAGAAGCAATGGAAATATTAACTTCAAGATTTATTAAAGACAAGTTTTCAACTAATGGATATATTAGCCTTATAATGAAGGTCAACTGTGTTGCCGTATGAAATCTGTAGCATGTGTCAAGAATGGAGAGGTCGCAGGTCTATACAAATATGCAAGAATGGAGAGGTCGCAGGTCTATACAAATAGGCAAGAATGGAGAGGTCGCAGGTCTATACAAATAGGCAAGAATGGAGAGGTCGCAGGTCTATACAAATAGGCAAGAATGGAGAGGTCGCAGGTCTATACAAATATGCAAGGTGTGGTACAAGTAAATGTGCTCGCAGATGCACTGTTAGGCGAGAGAAGGCGCCTAACAGTATGTGTAATATGCAGGTTGTAACAACCCCTGACGCCCGTGGGAAGGTCACTTCCATGGGTATGAGTCTTGCTGCAAGTCTTAAGTTATAAGAGAGCAGCATCCAACGGAGAGAGTACTGTGAGGAACAGTAATTTAGTATGGCACTCTGGCACCAGTGAGGTGAATATCTGCCTTCTCTCGCAGGTGAGGCGCTCCAGCAATGCACTCTCATCCTCTTTCCAACAATAGCAAATAATTCTGTTTTACCACATATGACTCAGCAATTATTGTTATTATTAGTGTTATCGTTATATTGTGTTGTATTGTAGTGTTTAACTACTGCTCTAATCAATATAACTAATCATTCGCAACTATATAATAGACATGTATATTGTAAGTTAATTATATTACTATGGTTATTACATATATATTATATTTATTTATTTATATTATTTTAAAATTAAATATGAGGTTTATACAATATGGGGCGAGCATACCAAGGCTGGGACTCCGGCACTGGAGGAGTGACCAGGGTAGAGATACTCCTGTGGTCCAGGACGCTCCCATATGTCCCCACTCTTATCTCTCACCTGAGGGTTCACTGACTGTATGCTTTCCTAGTGTTGCTGAGAAGACGCCTTTTAATCTTATACAAGTTATCCTAAGTCAACGACTGACCTTCTCCTAGATGCAGCCCCACAACAGTCTACTAACTCCCAGGGACCTATTTACTGCTAGGTGAACAGAGGCATCATTTCACCTGGACCACACGACTTGGTAATGGTCCAGGATGGGCCGAAACGTTGTCGTTTCTAAATTTTCTGATGTGTGATTTGATCATCATATCTTCAGTTACGTTATTGTGACTCATCGTTTGCAGAAGCATCAGGTATAAGTAACTTGCAGAAGCATCTCAGCCAGCCAGGTAACCAAACCCAGGACCGCTTGGTTGTGAGGAGAGCACAATAACCACTGTGCCAAGGACCACCTTAGTACATGAAAGGTTGTGTACTCACACCACAAGACACCGAGGCGCCGTGGTACGAGTGCATCAGGTACTAACCAATGATAACTCAAATATTGTCCCAAGTGACCAGAATTATCGTTGAGTATTCAAGGTGGGCGTCCCACAAACTAACCATTGAGACATTTGAAGTCAGGATCCTCCAGGACCCAGACGGTACCGTTGAAGGTGATGGAGGTGGCGTTGGTACCTGCAGGTGACATGGTGTTCTCAGGGCAGGTGTAGTTGAGGGTGTCCCACTGCCAGTAAGGTGGGTCGGGGCCAGAGTACAGGCTCCCTGGAGGCAGAGGCGGGCCTTCGTGAGTACCTGACGTGGTGGAAACAAAACATTATGTAGAGCAAGCTAGCAGCTGCTGCACTAATCTTCCACAGTAAAAGAAGTATGCAATAATTGAACACTTCACTTCTGTATCCAGACTAAAGCAACGAAAAGCAATGGGAACTTGAATTACCCAAAATATGATTTCAACATTTCAACAACATTTTAATTTATGACAGACATGCCAATAACTACAATAAATGTTGTGAAGCAACAAGGAACAAGAAAACGGGTCGCTTAAGGTCTTGGGGTTGATTGTGATACCAATATCAAAACTTGCATTGATTTAGAAGTTTTAAATAATCTCTGTTACGTATAAGACATGATCTATGGCTCGGAGCATATGGCTTATCTACACCTTAAACATTCTTAAACTGTTTTAAACCATGTATATCTGTGTGAGGCGCCATATGGGGACTCCATTGTTGAGAGACGAGAACATAAACAACCTGTCCTCACACATATAACACCAATTTTTTACGCTATCGACCCCAGCCTCAAACATACCGTGTTTTACTGAAATTAGGCAGTAAAATTTAACCTTCCCTTAACTTATACAACATTGTTGTCCAAGTTTTTACGCTTATGGTTAAGTAAAACCCACTGCTTATACAACCTTGTCGAGTATAAATTTGCTTGAAGAAGCACCCATAAGTTGCTATGGACAGGCACCCTGTCCTGCCGACAAGGGCAGGTTGGACTCCCCTATCCTGCCGACAAGGGCAGGTTGGACTCACCTATCCTGCAGACAAGGGCAGGCTGGACTCCCCTATCCTGCAGACAAGGGCAGGCTGGACTCACCTATCCTGCAGACAAGGGTGCTGGTGTCGACGAAGGTCCAGTTTTGGGTGTCATGTTCACACGTGGTGTTCTTTGATGAATTAAAGTCGGGAAACACGTAGGGATGAGGACACGCCAGTTCAATCTGTTGAAGACAATGTAGATCACAGAGTGTGCAGCTGGAAGCCTCCGCATTACACACACCCAGTCAACAAGAACATTAATGGTACTTCAAGCACTGACAACCTTGTAAGTGTGTGGAAGATCTTACCTCGTTGTCCACGGCCAAATGGGACGCGGAAGATTTTCATTTGTGTGTCAAGTGTTTGGTGGACGAGGAAAATGTTCAGTTTGTTCGAGGATGAAGTAAGGAAGAAGAAGGTTCAAATTTGTGCAGCAGGAATCTTGCAGGTAAAGGAAAAGGTTCAGGTTTAGTGTCACTGATAAATTTGAAGCTTCTCATCTGTATTTCAGGAATTTTGTAGGAAAGGTTGGGGCTTCCTATGCGGTATGGATGATGCAGGTGAAGGTCTCACCTGTGTCATGGATGAAAGAGGTGAAGGTCTCAACTGTGTGTCAAGGATGAAACAGGTGATGGTTTCACCTGTGTTATGGATGAAACAGGTGAAGGTCTCACCTGTGTGCCAACGGAGCGGGATTTGCCGTTCCAGGTGGAGTTTCCAGGGGGCAGGATGGTGGGCGGGTCACCTCTGCACACTGTAAGAAGACCAATGTTGTCACGGTGTGCACATTGTGGGAGTGTGTACACTTACCAAGTTGTCCCTGCTGGTCGCCCCTCAGTCTCTCAGTCCCGCCTTTCCAGCAATTTGTGTAATTTTACATACTTTTATTGCCTATTTTTATAATTACAAGTAGAGATTCTTGCTCTTAGTGTCACGTTTTCCTTATATATTTCATCATATATAATTGTAAAATTTGGCGTAATTTTAGTACACAACTTTATTCCAAGCAGCCATTGTTGTACTGAGAGAAAGTACTTTCCGTTAGTCTTTCTGCTCGTGTACTTGTGAAGTATACACCTAAGAGTTGACGTGCTCCACAGCTCATGTCTCACTTCTAGTAACCTCTTGGTAGTATTAGTCTTGTGGTGACATGGAGCCTGCCTCTCCGTCTCCCTCCATACACTTACATGGCCTCCTTCTGGCCATTGAATATGTCTCGGCTTGCTCAGATAATATCATTAAAGTGATGAATGTTTATAGTTTTAAAAGTTAGTGAGAGCATTAGATCTTGGTAGAGGCCGTGCGTGGTGCAGGCGAAGGCTTGCCTGTCCAAGTGACGAGGAAGCACAAGGTGGGAACTTGTGATGACGACGATGATGTTGGTAAACGTTTTGGTGTCATCACAGGTGATAGGTGGAGGCTTTAGCATGACTCCAGTCACAGGAAGGTGAAGTGACTGTCAGGGAAATAGGTGCGCGCTCCAATGTAAAATGCGGCAAGTGAAATTAGTCCATCAAAATTGGAGTTAGTGAGTGTGGGGGTGACGTGAGGCAGTGGGCACATGACGTGGTGGAGCTGTAGTTCCTGGTGTGTAGTTCTGGTCATCTGGTTAAGGAAGCTCAGTTGAGGCTGTTGATGAAACAGAGGCGGGGACGGGGTGAGGTCCTCGGGGTGTAGTGACGGGGCGGGACGACAGGTAAGAGCACCACACCCGTACCCAAGTTGTCAACAGTGGTGACTGCACTCTGGGACGGATGCGCCTCACGCCTCACCGTCGGAGTCTTACAACAACAAATCAACAAAACAAATTTAGGAAAGATCTTGTGTCTTGAGCCGGAGCCCAAGAGAATGACGCTTGACGGTAAGTACCTACCAGGCCGCATGGGACCCATGGTACAATTTTGTTTGTCCACATGGGCTGTAGGTTTAAAAATCTAGCGGTTAAAATCATGTCGAGTTTAAACAAGGGAAGGTACCTATACCTAATGAACAAATCCACAAGGGCCATGATGAGGGTTCGAACCTACATCAGAGAGGATCCCAGACGCGCCTTAATCGACTGTGCCACGACATGGTAAGAAAACCCTCGTGGATTTGTTCATTTGATGTATCAGGTTATTGTGATTTCTGTGTGTACCAATACCTAAGTTTGGAAGCTTCGTAGCATTTGTTATAAAGAAGTTGGAGAAAGGAAGTGTAAGTGTTCGTAATACAGTGTTGATGTTGACCAGACTAACCATTGAGACACGTGAAGCCAGGATCCTCCAGGACCCAGTCAGTGCCGTTGAAAGTGACGGAGGTGAGGTTGTTGCCGGAGGCGGACGAGAGGTCCCCCGGGCAGGTGTAGTTGAGGACGTCCCCCTGCCAGTAGGGTGGCGGTGGACCATTATATACCGTGCCAGGCGGCTGGGGGGGACTTGTGGTCGCATCTGCAACCACATCAACACAATAGTCCTCAATGATTACCATATTGTAAACAATAAATGTAACGAAATATATACCAGACCATATTTATAACAATGAGCAAATTTATTTATGGGTTTCAAGCCAATTCTGCTTACCATAAATGGCCCAATTAATTAATCGCCTAAGCCTCAGTCCTCAAACAAGTTCGGCATCTCACCTATTAAAGGTTTGGGAATAGGTTTATCAAATGGGTTTCAAGCCTATTACCAAACGTGAGTGAGGTTGTGTGTGTGTGGTGAGAAGTGTAGTGGTGTAGGGAGTCAGTATAAGCCACACGGCAGCCAGCACCAGAAGTCTGCTCCTTGACTCACTTATTCTGCAGCGCAGGATGGCAGTGTTGACGAAGGTCCAGTTGCCATCACCTCCACACTCTACACTGATGCTTGTGGTCATGTCTGCGAAGCGGTAGCCAGCGGGGCACGCCAGCTGCAGCTACAGATGGGGCAGGTGGTGGTGGTGGTGGTGGTGTTAACTCTCACACACTATATATTATTCCCCCCCCCCTCACCACTCTTTCATCACATTGAATTTATATGTAATATTTCGATCAGTACATATGGAAATTATAATTTGGTGATTAGATATGTAGCACAGGCAAGACATGATGGGTATGTAAGAGGTACAGACCTTTGTGCCAGCTGTCCTTGTTGTGTTGTCCCACGTGGAGGTGCCGGGCAGGTCAAGCGTTGGAGGCTCTCCAAGACACACTGCAAGCACACACACCTTCGTTACACCAACACTATGGCCTCTTATATATATATCACGTCTACCAAACTCATGGACATAAACATATTTATGTTTAGAATTTAATCTGTAAAATATATTCTTGGTGTATGAGGACACTTAAAACTGGAACTGTTATATAGTTACAAAGTGCCAACACAACCAGGAATAATAAATAGAGCATCTTTCTATCTACTAAAGAGTTGGCTCATGTGTACTGTAAGAGAGCAGTGAAGCCGCTCCTACCAACTCATCTTTACTGTCTCCTGTCACAACTTGAATTTCGAATAATATAGTAATCTGTGAAGAACATTTGAAGAAGTGTGACGATTAGATTAGAGACTCACACTTAGCACAGCTGAGCGGCTGGCCGCTGGGGGTCCACACTCTGGCCTGGCAGGTGAGCACCAGGTGGTCCTTCACGTCTGGGAACGTCTGCAACACCAACACAAGTCACCCCACACCAACATCAACACAAGTCACAGTACACCAACACCAACGGAATGTTATATGTTTTGATAAAGATAATTTCCCTCAATGTCTGACTGTTGTGTCTGTTTAGATAACATTTCCTGCATGCCTTCTAGCTGAGAGTGTGGGTAAGTGAGGGATCACCACCCAGGTCTCGCCCCGGACACTCACCTCAGGCACCAGCAGTCCTTCAGAACAGTTGTAGTAGAGTGTGGAGCCAATGGTGTTGCTGGTGAAAGCCCCCATCGTCATGTTGTGTCCGGCAGGAGGTGGAGCGCCACATCCTGAACACACGCCATTGTATAATCGAAATCATTAAAAGTTCACACAGGGTAACATTAGAGTGTTTGAGGTCCCACAGACTCATATGGGCCTTGATAATTCACACAAAATCACATAAGGTAATTGAAGCTAGGTCTCCCAAAGTTACCTGAGGCATCAAAGATCACCAAACGTCACCTAATATAAACTGCGCCTCAGACAGACAGTTGGAATGGTAGTGTGATAGTTAAGTCCACATTCTCAGTGACTTGCAGCAGGAGCGCTTAATATTACTTTACATAAAGTGAGAGTTAGGGTTAGAGAGGTATGGGAGGACGCCAGTCTTAACAACTGAGAACGAAGAACATGTTGAGTATTGACATATATATAAACAAACTTGTGTAATATCAAATTTGAATATGGTTAATTCTTGCTCTTAAATGTGAGTACAGTGCCAGCCTCGCTTCTTGTAGGGTCAAGGGTCGATCCCCGATGGTTAGAGTAGCTGGGCACTCTGTCCTCGGTCATAACCAGGCTTTTAGTCTTCACATATTCTTGTCAACTACTCCACTGCCATACTGGTTTAGTGTTTTCTCCTGATAATTCCCAGTTGAGCAGAGTAGGCGGTGGAGCGGGAGTGACATACCTTCATAGCAGGGGGTGGCGTCGGACCAGCCAGTGAGGCCGCAGGTGAGTGTCTGTGTGGTGGTGGTGATGTTCAGATAGTACCCAGACTTGCACGTCGCCACCACCACATTCGTGGTAACCTTGTACTGACTACTGCCCCAGTTAATGGTGGCGTTCTCTACCACCGGTCGTCCTGTACACACTGTCGAGTCATATACAGTTACTTTACTTTAAAATGACATCAACACTGGGGAAAGAATGAATTGTTTCTTTGAACGGACAATCAACCAAGAGCACGTACTGTTTCTAAGGGGAGGGACCATTCAAACATTACGTTATATATATCATTCAACAAGCCAAACTTGAGTGATGTAGAGGATGGAAGGAGACGTAATAATGGACGTACCGTTACAGGGGTCGAGGGCTGGTGAGAAACTATACCCGCTTGTAGTCTGGGAACACGTGAGCCTCTGGTGGGTGTCGCCCTGCTGGGTGGACATGTTGGACGGACAGGTGAAGTTGATGGTGCCGTTGAGTTGAAGATGAGTCGGGCTGGTCACATTGGTGATGAGGGGCGACACCGGGCCAATACTGGTCTCGTTACACACTGTGGACAACCAGATCAAGAGATCAGACTGGCGGGGTCTAGTCTATACATAACTATCTGCGGGCTCACCATAGCCCGTGTTACTTGGAACTTTTTGTTCCAGGTAGCGAATCTTTAACAACAACTAGTCTATGGCGGCCGGCAAGAGTGACGTGCCGTAACTCTAACGCCTCCATTACCATCATTTCCACAAATACTAAGTATACTAGCGAATTTAGTTACATTGAGCACATACACAGCTGTGAAGGAGAACATTAGGTGAACAAACACCTGTGTGTGAGAGTATTGGGCACATAAACAACTGTAAGAGAAAACAATAATCACACAAACATCTGTGAAGAACATTAGGCAGACAACTGTTGGAGGTAGCATTTGGTATTTAATTTACCTATAAGTATTAGACGTCGAGAAGCAATGAAAGTTACGTATTGCAACTGCTGACATCAGTACTGACACTTAGTGCAACTATTAAACATCAAAACTGACACGCATGACAACTCCTTTTATCACTACATGTTGTTTCCTAATGTCTTGCAGTAGGTAATATCAAACGAAGGTGAGAGGAGTTGGAGTAGAGAGAGCGTCTTACCGTCGACGGCCGAGCAGTTCTGGAGTACCGATGGTTCATTACCATTCATCCAGCCTCCCAGGAACCCTTGACACCACCATTTTTGCTCCACCATGGGAACCTTACCCATGACGAAGTACCCCGGGTAACACCTGAAGGAAGAGGGGCATGGTGTCAGTATTGCCGGTGTATGGTACGCGTATTGTTAAGACTTGTGAGTATGATGTATATATGGTCAAAACTAGTGTGTATGGTGTCAGTAATGTCAAGATCTGTTTACCTCTAGCTCTTCGAGATGTTTCTTTACCTCCTCTTTCTCCTCAGTTACTGACATATCGTCCGTAATGGTTTCCACCCGTCATCTGTCCCTAATCCGGTCCTCCACTCTGGTTCAATTTTAAGCACTTCCTATAATCCCCCTCACAGACTTCTCTGTCATTTTCTGTAACGATATTTGCATCTTTTCTTAAACTCCTGCCTCGCATGCCACAACTATGCAAGTGGCGAAAAATGTTCAGTCTGTGTTTTACATCAGTTCAGCTGTTCTGACAGTTATGTTCAACAGCACTAGAGAGTATATGTGTATGAATGCTTGTATGTGTGTGCATGTGTGCTCGTATAATGTATGCCTATATATTTGTGTGTGTGTATGTCATACATTTAACAAAATTAACTTTCTCACAAGAGCTACAACAGGGCACTACAAAGGTTCAAATTTCTGGTTTCAAGCGTAGTTATCACACTAATGTATATTCAACGATCAACACAATATGTGACTAAATGGTTTATTTCAGAATAACGAAAACATCTGACCTTGAAGGGTTTAAGTAGTCGAGGTGAAGACAGCCAGAGAAGCAGAGCACCTACCTGTAAGTGAAGGCGGCCATGGACGCAGAGCACCTACCTGTAAGTGAAGGCGGCCATGGAAGCAGAGCACCTACCTGTAAGTGAAGGCGGCCATGGAAGCAGAGCACCTACCTGTAAGTGAAGGCGGCCATGGACGCAGAGCACCTACCTGTAAGTGAAGGCGGCTAGGAGTGTCCAGCACCCACCTGTAGCCAGGGGCACAGAGCACCTACCTGTTGGAAAGGGCAGCCAGGCAGGTTCTAATACAAAACACATACCTGTAGAAGACCGTGTTACCAACATGTGTGTCACCGTCCCAAGTCAAGGTCATGTTTTCTGTAGGTGGCGGGAGGTCATCCAAACACTCTGCCAGGAAGACACATGGTTTGATAATAAGCCTTTACTCTCGATGTATAAGCACAGGTATAAACATGTATTACTCTCTCATGTGTAATAAATCATTCTGAGGCACCAACCCACCATAGAGGCCGTAGCGTTGACAAATTACATAGTGCACATGCACAGTTTCATCAGTAAGAAGTGCATTGGTTAAATTGTATCCTTGAGCCGGGTTAGCATTTACAGTGAGATAGCGCTGCTTGTACCCCTCAACGGGCGTGATATTAGCCAGAGCCACAACATCAGGGTCGGGGGCGTACACCCCTGAGCCAGTCCAGTTGTTCCTGCGGAGGTCAATGTTGTTAAATGTTAGATGATATCAACACTTAACTCAATAATTTGTCTCTATGCTTTATGTTTCACTGATTTACATACTTTTATATCATCATTTATGCAATTCTAGATTCAAAATATAGTTCCTGTTAATGTGACAAGACTGTATTAGATGCAGTCTAATACAGTCTTTTATTCTTATTCTTTTTCGTCAGTCATCCCTGCTACTGTACCCTGAGAGTACTTCTCTAACCTGGTGTGTCCGGTCATCCACGCCCTTCCCCCACCTCCTGCAACATGAGTACTACACCTCCACCACCACCACCACTGTCAGTCATCACTACACCTCACTAGGAATTTCTTACCGCCACAAAAACGTTTCCACCAACACACTACTACACCCATCATCAATCACACACTACCAATACCAGTTGTAATATCACACAAGAGTCAAAACAGCACAATGACAGTACCGTTGGTTGAGTCCAATGATGGCAATCTTCGTCTCCTGCAGCGAGGTCTGGATGTTTACACTGTTCAGTGCTTTTTGCTGTAAGAATATCTTACATCATCCTCAAGGTCTCATCATTAAATGTCACTATCAAAGTCACTTAAATTTATGACAAAATAGGAAGAAAGGAAGGAAAGGATGAGGAAGAAAGATAGGGAAGTAGAGAAGGAAGAGAGGGTAGAGGGGGAACAAGAGGAGGGAGAGTAGTGGAGTATAACAATGAAAAACAGAACGTGTCAATAAAGGACATAGCTGAATGCTTATTGACCCATCAAGGCAGCTCCTATTTATATGCACCCAAACGCATTCATATGTATGTCTAACCTACACTTGAAACAATTTAGAGATCCGGCACGTTACCTGGTACGCAGTTCCACAGATCAACAACACTATTTCTAAACCAGTATTTACCCAGGTCTTTCCTTAATCTAAGCTTATCCAATTTATATTGGATAAACAAAACCCATTCGTCTTCATCTTGGAAACATAGATTAATAAATGATTCACAACATAGTTTTATAAACGGCCGTTCATGTTCAACAAATTTGCTATCATTTTATTCCATCATAGTTGAAGCAGTTGAGAGGCAGGTAATGTTTGTGATGTTGTGTATCTTGACTTTAGCAAAGCTTTTGATACAGTGCCACATGAAAGACTGATTAAAAAGATAGAGGCTCACGGTACTGGGGGTGCTACATTAAGTTGGTTGAGTCGACTTTTGAATTTATTTCTCGCTCAAATTTGGTATCGTCCATAAATTTGCAAATATTATTGTTCAATCTTGAATCTAAATCGTTACATATATGGCAAACAACAGCGGTGCCAGAAGAGAGCTTTGAGGCACTCGTCACACAACGGGTTGCCACCTTGATATATACCTCCACTTATACTAACTCTTTGTTTCCTTTGGTATAACCCTGCTCTTAACCAATTTAATTAGCGCCCTCAGTACCCTGAGCCTCAACATTACCAATCAACCTTTCGTGTGGCACAGCATACGAAGCTTTGGTAAAGTCATGGTACACAACGTCACAATCCTTTCCCCAATCAATGCTTCACATATACTGCAAAAACAATGAAAAACAAATCAGCATGTACACATATACTGCAAAAACAATGAAAAACAAATCAGACATGTTTTATCATGTTTTAAGGGTCCAACTTTTTCTGATTTTGGTATATGTGGAAGAAGCCTTTGGGGTGTATTTTTGCTTGCCCTGCTCTACGTACTTCATAATGTTTTTTGTTTTTGTTATCTATTTCTTAACCGTTCTTGATATTATAATAAAGTGTTGTTCAAGATATGTTTCCATTTGTAATACGCACATATAAACTTCCTTATTTCCAATAAGATTTTTAAATCCAATATTCATACATATTGGGCACGTAATTTGACCTAATCACTGTATACAGTATACTATATTCCTGGGCTTAAAACAGAAAACGGGGCAATACGTCACTTTCGTGAGCCGATTTCATTTTTAGTTACGTCCTTTTTTAGCCTGAGTGCGCATACGAGCGAAAAGTGACGTAATTTGTAAGAGTTTTTACGTAATTCGTAATTCTACCCAACCTACCCTTCCTAAACAGCTTCCCAATCCCGGAGGAAGAGAAGAAGGAAGACTACATCAAGGCACTAGTATCATCAACAATGACAACAAATGAAACTGTTAAAACAGGAACACGAACAAAAACATTAACAATGGCAAGACAAACCAACCAAACTGGTAAAGTTTGAGGGTGCTCACCCTGACGAGGCTCTCCAGATACTGGAGGACGTCCAGGCTCTCAGGGTACGCTAGGGAGCTCCCGTCGGCCATACAGTGCTTTAGAGCCTCGATGTGATCGCCTGTTCTGTTTATGTAGACACCCGTGTAGGTAGCAGTATCCAAAACATTGTAGCACAGCCCCTTGTATTGCGAATAGTTATTGGGGCAGAACGCTGTTTGGAATATCACAGAAGGAAGCTTCAAGTTATAAAAACACGAAATTTAAGATTAATATCAAATATATTCAAATGTCATGATGATCAAATACAACCCGTTCTCGCACTTTCTTACAGTCAATATTGACTTATTAATTTATTAAATACGTGCATATGTGGCATACTAATTTATTGTGAATATTTTAGTTTACCTTGAAAAGCTTCATAGAAAACACCGACCTTACCTAACCTTCTTAGTGTGTTAAGATAAGCATCTTATTGCTTCGTAATTACAATTATTACTTAACCTATACCTATAATATGTTAAGTAATAATTGTAATTACGAAGCAATAAGATGCTATACCTATAATAAGTTAAGTAATAATTGTAATTACGAAGCAATAAAATGCTTATCTTAACATACTAAGAAAGTTAGGTAAGGTCGGTGTTTTCTATGAAGCTTTTCAAGGTAAACTAAAATAGTCACAATAAATTAGTATGTCACATATGCACGTATTTAATAAGTCAATATTGACTATACGAAAGTGCGAGAACGGGTTGCCAAATAACATATGTTCTTGGGGTAAACATTTGGGCAGTGATCAGACACGAACGAAATACTTAGAGGTTAAGCAGACCTTAAGATACATATTTTATAAGGTAGAGTAGACCTCAAAGAAAGATTTGAGATTTATCGAGAAATACATTTGAAGACCTGACCTGGTCTCCTGCAGATGTAGCGAGTGGTGTTGAGGAAGCAGCTCTGAGCGCGCCCCTGGAGGGTGATGGGGGCGGCCTGGCCCACGGTATAACACTCGTTCCTACCCGATAGCTGTCAACAACAAATAATACATTACGATAAGACAATTATTATTAGTAGTAACATCTTTAATGACAAAAAATAATTACAATTTTTGCCTAATCTGAGGAATTCAATTATGTGTTGAAACTTGATTGTTTCAAGCGTGGGTTACACATATATATATGAATAAATTTGGGTGAATACAAATAGAAGCTGCCTCAAAAAGGGCCAATAGGTCTTGTACAGCTACATTAATTCTTAACTTTTTAATTAATGCAAGATGGCACCACGTGACACACCACACAACCACACTCACCTGGCAGGTCTCATTTGGGGCGCACGGAACATTCATACCGCTTGGGCTTGGCGGCTGGAAGGGCGTCAATGAGTCCCTGAAGAATAAATGAAGTAATAATTCTAATGATAATTAAAATAATTACTTTAATAATAATAATAATGAAAGGTCAGACAATAGCTCTCGGTAGTTGGGAAGATCTTTGACCAAATGCTTGTTGATACACTAGGTAAGTATGTAAACAGAGGCATTAAGAACCTGGTTTCTTTGCAGTGCCAATTAAGGTGCTAGTTAAGAACCCAGGGTCGTAAGTGGCCAACCCTTGGCATGCGTGCCAAAATTGGCACTCAAATTACTTTTTTCTGGCACGCAAAACTCAGGGCTCAACTTATAAAATAATGAAATAAGTATCCAACTTTCTTTTTCTCATCATAATCTCATTTCTTTTGTGAGTTTTGCAATTTGTATATATCCTTCATAAGGGATGAAGATTTAATTAAAGAATGTCTTTCATTTTTATTTTATTTTATTGTGCTTTAGCAAAGTAAAACGATTATGAGATTGGGCACTGTAATGTATTATGGAAAACTTAAAAACTTATTGCTGATTAACTTCATATATAAAACAAAAAGAACAATTCTGAATTATTGTTGACTCTTTTCTTGGTGTTAAATTTTTTTATTTTTTTTATTTATTTATTTCTATACAAGAAGGTACATTGGGGTTAAGAGAGTACATAGTAATGATGTTGTTAATTTAAATTGTGTGGCTGTATATGGCAGCGAGAATTACACTTAAAGCCTAATAGAAATACCCACACTATCAACATAGTGCAACGACCTTTAAGTCAAAATTACGTCACAAAATTTTAAATTTTTTGTTAGTCTTACATGACTAACAATCATCACTCTCGGAATATTCTGTGACATTACCGCTCTAGTGTGATATTTGCTTATTTGAAAATTTCTCCCAATAACTAAAAGGCGCGATGTTTCCAAAAATTTCGATAGGCGCGCGAGAAAATGTTGCCTCCAAGAGTTGTCGATTTTGGCGCGCACACTTAGAAAGATTGCCCACCCCTGCCCTAGACGAACACCTCGATAACTACTTGCTATTGAACAAGCAACCCGATTTTAGAGATACAAGAAACACCAGATTTACCACTTCAGATGACCACAAGTAAGACAAGAACCCTGACCAAGACCTGTTAGCCATGTCGTCGAGGTTACTTAGTTAACTACTAAGTTAACTTGTGACAAATTTGGTATATAATTTTATATATAAGGTTGCCATAGCTGGTGGAGGGTGGTTTAGCAGCACAGGTGTGGGGCTATGTTCGTAGTTGCCATAGCTGACGGGGGTTTTATGATAATTGTAGAAGACAAAGCACATTTGGGTGCCATACCTGACGTGGGCGGTGTAGTAGTACTGGTTGTTGACTATGTTAGGGTGGTTGCCATACTCCGTTAGCAGCGCCAATGATGCCAGCTCGTCGCGGCACCTGTAACAATATGAACTAATATTGCAGGCGACGAGTCACAATAACGTGGCTAAATTATGTTGACCAGACCACACACTAGAAGGTGAAGGGACGACAACGTTTCGGTCCGTCCTGGACCATTCTTACAATCGACTTGAGAATGGTCCAGGACGGACCGAAACGTCGTCGTCCCTTCACCTTAAAATTTAAATTTTGCCCCGAGGGGCGAGTTTATTGGGCAGCGCCACTCATCTTGTGAGTGAACATACCGCCATAGCAGAATGTACAACACTCCCCAATAGGAAGAAAACCCGCTGGGTTGTTCATCCTGTCACTTCTTGTGTGTGGTTTGGTCAACATGAACAAATATTTATTTAATAAATAAATCATAAATTGACGTGAGAATGCTTGTAGACATATGAATAATCATTAGTTTATAACCTTATAATAATCATTGGCATGTGTGTGTGTGTGTGTGTGTGTGTTACCTGAGAGAAGCGGTGACGATGCCATAGGTAGCGTCATCGTCAGAGAAGCGAGCACAGGAGGTCCCGTCCACAGTCTTGACGTAGTTGTCTGGGCAGGTCACTGGCCAAAACATTACACATTACTCACACTCCTCCAAAACTAAGGCATTAGGATTAACATTTCCAAACATTACAATAAACAGGTCATAATACGCCTGAATGACTCTAAACCTCCAGTTTCCTACGATAAACAAAACAAAAGCATTACCCAATCCACGTATCAAACAATTAATATGTGATTACCATAAAGTGTAACTCCTGCTTTGTTGGGTGTTGGAGCGCTTATTATTTCATTATAAGACATGACTGACATATATAAGCCGAACATGCAAATATATATATATATATATATATATATATATATATATATATATATATATATATATATATATATATATATATATATATATATATATATATATATATATATATATATATATATATATATACTCTGCTTGCCTGTCTCCCTAAATATCGAATTATAATAATTATTTTATCACAGTACAGATGAACAATCTGCATTTATAAGATAGAATATCAGTCTGTTCAAAGTTGGAGGCCTGAGGTTTGGGGCTAGTCTCACCCAACTTGGCAGTAGGAATGCTCTGGGGGTACAGAACGGCACATGTAAAATTAAACACACAGAAAACTGTATGTGCGATAATATCCAGAAGATGCCTCAGATTCCCGGGAGGCAGAGAGGGACTCACGCCGACACGGAGGGGAGATGATGCTGGTGTTCCAGACGAGGGTGCCGTTGGTGAGCGCGACACAGGTGGTGGAGTCCTCCGTCACCCTCTCAGCCATGGTGGTGCTGTTGCCGGCCATGATGAGCTCTCCCACGCACTGGTACGAGATAACAGTGCCGGCACTCCTCACAATGGGGAAGGTGATGTTGATGTTCCTCCACCACGGCGCCATGGCCACCTCCGGGGGGCAGGAGTGGTCTGGGAGGGGCAGGTAAAGATGTCAGTACTAAGGGAGTGCTGAGCGAGGAGGGGGCTGGTGATGAGGGTGAGTACAAATGATGGGAGGGTGAAGGGGGTCGTGGTGGGGATGATTGGAATGGTGAGAGAGACTAGTAACCACAGAAGAGGGGCTGGTGACGAAGTGGTGACTGTGATGGGAAGTATAAACCTAATAAGAGCACAATAATAAACACAACTGCAAGTCTATTACCCCTTAAGATCATAATAAAAGTAACTATAGAGGCCTTTTATTGCATGCGAGGCAGCTCCTTAGTTTGAAACAATCCAGTGATCCCACGTATATAATAATGCCCGGTAATTGGTCCCACAACTTAATAACACTGTGGTGTGTGTGTGTGTGTGTGTTTAAAACTCACATGGCTCAAACCTTGACTGCATCAAGTACTAGGTCCATTTAATTCAAAGTTAACCACTGCACTGCGCACCTGGTTTCGGCAAAAACTTTTTAGTGTAATTGTCAAGGACATATTTTTGTAGTTTTTATAAATATTCAAGTAAAGTTAATGTCAAAATGTTTCCAAACCAAATATTTCCATTTCGAAACATTAAAAAACCATGAAAATTTAGCCTAATTAAAAAAAATAGCACAACTCTCAGAGCGCCTAAAGGCACTTTGCGCAGTACAGTTAAATTTCGTGACTGTTGTGTACTGTGTGTGCCATACAGGCCGCAGATATTACTGCCCTATACTCCTCAATGTACAGTCTGTAGATAAAATGTCCATCAGTAAGAGTAGCCAACTTCAATCATGGCGTGTTTACTTAGCACCAAACACAACGCCTGCTACTTGATCAATATAGTCTCTCGCTCTCCTGGATGCCATTTTCTAAGATGTTTTCAATGGCCCCCACCCTAGATTTTTTAGCCACAATATTCATATATGATCTCAATATACTAAAGTATCTTGTAGCCAGATTTGATACGTATATATTAAATACATAGTAGCTTTGTTAAGACGTGCAACAAACCAACATGCAAGGAAATGACAATACTTGTCTGCAAACAGCAAAACAGTTGCTACAGTATAATCAGTTAGAAATCAGTCCGGAATCCGACGGTCTCACCGGCGTCATAATCCTGAGGTCGGACAAAAAGGGCGACACTCCTTATAGTCTGGGAGGTGTCCTTGGTGAGCGAGTCCCAGGTCATGGGTGAAGGGATCAGTTGACTCTGTGGGCGGCCCAGACACATCACTAATATACTATCAACCACTCAAACATATTTACTTATTGATTCCAACTTGTTCATTTATATTAACAATAATATCATTAATTTCTTATATTTGTCATTAACTTTATTTCATTTCACTGCTACTAAAATGACTTACAGAATTAACTCCCGAACGTTCTTGCCACCAAAGATCTTGAAATTTTTGATTCAAGTTCCCAGAAAATGAATCTCCTAAAAATACAATGATTAACGCCAATTAGCAACAGAGAAAATTACTTTATATTGTTTAAATTTTCCCGTGAAGCATAAATATAAGCCAATATCCCTGAAAAAAAAACCAGCACCAGGCCGCCCACGCCCACACCCGCGGGCCGGCGGGAGGGGGCGGGGAGCATCAGCCCAGGGCAAACATGAATAGAGTACAACAATGCTACTCATAATAAATAATTAAACATTAAAAATATATTGGTCAAGTGGGTTAAGGCCGGGTAGAATAATTGGTTGGAAGTAACCAGGTAGCACGGTCGAATCACCGAATTGCTCTGACCTATTCAAAACAAACATTTTAAAATATATCTTGATAACTGAAGTTAGCTTGAACACAAATGCTGAAGAAAGAATTATACTTCACTCTTCAATAGCAAAGAATATCATGTAAATGTAAGATAAAAAAAGATCTATTTTTTCTATTAAAGAGTACCATGTATTGAAGATTCCGAGGATCAACGACCCAGTGGCCCAGTCTCCGACCAGGATAATAACTACCATTACAACTTAACCACTGCTGTAATGTCGTCACTATAATTACTTACCAGCAGTTCCATGGTAGTCTCCCACTGCTGTTAGAGTCCATGGGTTATTTTGTGCCATTTGGACCCCACTGTAGATGGCGAAGTAACTCTTATCGTTAGTAAGTGTGATGTTGAACTAATAAAGAAGAAACAAAGAATGTAAGATAAAGGCGTCAACAATGAATGTGAACAAAGAACCTGATGGTAGAGAAAACGGAATAAACTACAGTATATAATTAAGGGCACTTTTAACAATATAGAAAACTTGGGACACTGTATACAAAATTATACCATAGCTGTGATAATCTTAAACTGTATTACATAGATAACATATACTGTATATTGTATACTGTTCAATAATGATTTTGACGTGAACGTGAAAGAAGGAGCGGTGTCACCGTGGTTTTAGTGTGGATGTTGTTGGTGTACATGATGGTGTACATGTTGGAGTACATGTGTATAAGTCACGCTGCCTGGTAAGGTGTTGTATTGTGTGTCAATTGGTGAGGATCCGTACATGAGAGAGATACACTTACCCAGAACACCAGCGGCCGCGGTGTTGTACCGTTCCAGTTCAGTGCTGACAGCTTCTCTATCCCTGAAATATATTAACAACTACTGTTACTCAAATTATATTAAAAACACCATCATAAGTCAGGGACAAGGGAAAGGTATTTGTAGTCGAAAGTTTGAGTTATCGCTCTTAAATTAAGTAATGAACTGGATAAATCAACATATTACAAGGATTAACTCAACACAATAAAGGGGTCAATTCATTATTTTCTAGAAATATAATATACATCAGAGTTTATCACAGCAATTGAGGTTAAATTGTTACACTGAAGAAGGACATTCATGTTATTCTGATTATTTTGTTACTCTCAGGATTTAAAAACCACTGGTTAAATTCAATACGTGGAAATGAAAAGAAATGTAGCTAACTACACTTTCAACTTGATATATATTAAAGGGTATTTGAACGTAAAGAAAGAACGAGGGTGGGGAATAACTACGTCTGGGGATCATGTGTGATTAATAAGCCAGGAGGCACCACAACCTTCAGGCTATATACAGAGTGAAGCAGTCGCCACAGTTACAGATGGGAGTCTTGAAGGCACGTATATAGCTGTCACCTGGCAACAAGCAAAGGGGGTAGACATTTCTCATCCCCCCTCCCCTTGCCGCATGAACCTACTTAAGCAAGCGCAGGTGCCTGGCGCCTTCAAACATATCTGAATAGCAATCATGTAAAAACAATCAAGAATGTCGTGACCATTATATGAATGATCTTAGCAGCGGTGGCGGGAACGTCTTAACAATCACGCCACAAACAGCAAAATGAATTACAATTTTGCCTAATCTGAGTAAGTCAAAACTATGAGAACTAGACGTGTGTGCCGTTGCGATTTTGAACTGGTTCTGTTATTAATGTTAGACCAGATCTGTGGCTAATGTAGTTACCGTAATCTATTATCCCAAGATACAAAGAAAATAAAACAATTTTTAAACCTTTGTAAAGGTGAAGTGCTGAGACTTACTCAGGAAGTAAGGCTGGGTCATCGAGGATATGTCACTTGGTTCTGATACATAAGTGTTGGTAAAACCATTACTGTTGTACAACACCTGTGTCCACCCAGTGTCACTTGTGTCACTTGAGAGACTGCAGTAAACCTGTAAAGTGTCAATTAAATTATAAGACTTGCACCCGTCCCACGTTCTAACAGTCAACTCTTAACTATTTAATGGTATATCAAATAATACAAGTCGCAGCCACCAACCTTCCAACCACACACTTGCTTTGTAAGTTTGTGGGAATTATACCATTTATGCAGCTCGTCCTCATTAACAAAGACCAATGTTCATTCCATGCAGCCACCAAACCTATGTTCATAAATGAAAAACTATTTGCACACGACTCACAACTGATGACGTTCAAACGTTTCTCCAAAAGTGCTTCGCTGTCGAACTGTTCAAACCACAACGCTGTAAATCCTTTACTCACGTACTTCAAGTACAAATAATCGCCAACAGAACCTAAACACCTAACCTACCTTAACGCATACCTAAATATGCATAATATGCTAATATATAACATTAACTTATATATGAGAAATTCCTATTTTGAATAAACATATTAAACTTTATGACTGCATTTTGGGGGTTGGACGCTGGATGGAATGACCGTACTCTGAGGACGAGTCAGTTTATGATTCCTTATATACAAGACAAAGAATGAAATCACAAAACAAATAGTAACGATACACAATTCAATCACAATACCGTGATATATCTATGATAAACTCTTTGGAGGAGAGCGGCGAGGTGGACCCAGCGTCTAGGAACACCCCTGGACCCCGCCTCCTGGGTAAGGTTTGGTTAGGTGACACCAGGTCAGTCTGGTGTTGACAAAGGCTTTAACAGGCCGAAACGTTCACTTCCTTTCATATTTCTCTTTGGATTTTCCGCATAAAATGATCAGTGTTTTGTGATCGTCAATTGCATATATATATATATATATATATATATATATATATATATATATATATATATATATATATATATATATATATATATATATATGTATATATATATATATATATATATATGTTGTACCTAGTAGCCAGAACGCACTTCTCTGCCTACTATGCAAGACCCGATTTGCCTAATAAGCCAAGTTTTCATAAATTAATATATTTTCTCTAATTTTTTTTATGAAATGATAAAGCTACCCATTTCATTATGTATGAAGTAAATTATTGTTATTAGAGTTAAAATTAACGTAGATATAAGACCGAACCTAACCAACCCTACCTAACCTAACCTAACCTATCTTTATAGGTTAGGTTAGGTTCGGTAGCCAAAAAAGTTAGGTTAGGTTAGGTTAGGTAGGTTAGGTAGTCGAAAAACAATTAATTCATGAAAACTTGGCTTATTAGGCAAATCGGGCCTTGCATAGTAGGCTGAGAAGTGCGTTCTGGCTACTAGGTACGACATATATATATATATATATATATATATATATATATATATATATATATATATATATATATATATATATATATATATATATATATATATATATATATATGTGTATATCACGAAAATAAACACGTGATTAAGAATGTGACAATGTCAGACCACGGAGGAAAAATGACCTTCTGAAGATGTATTTAATATACGAAAGTACTTAAGGAAATTTCCTGTTTCTTTTTTCCTCCGTGGTCTGACATTGTCATATATATATATATATATATATATATATATATATATATATATATATATATATATATATATATATATATATATATATATATATATATATACATGATATGATGTCAAGGTGAACACTGTTAGGATTCAGATTAGTATATTGCAAAATGAACTCTTGTGTTTAAAATATATTTGTGTATATATGCTCACCCAGTTACTCACCTAGTTGTGCTTGAAGAGGTTGAGCTTCGGCTCTCTGGTTCCGCCTCTCAACCGTCAATCTACTGGTGGTGGTGTGTGTGTGTGTGTGTGTGTGTGTGTGTGTGTGTGTGTGTGTGTGTGTGTGTGTGTGTGTGTGTGTGTGTGTGTGTGTGTGTGTGTGTGTACACATATTCGTGCGTACGTGAGCCAATCTTCGCACTCATTATCACACAAAAGAATATGATCACAAGAAAATTATTATTACAATAAAAATACAAAATAATTCACACACCAGTCTAGTAATTTCTTCAAAATTACTGAACAAAACAGCATTTAAACACGCAAACTTCGCCAGTTGGTCTCACGTACAAATGTGTATATCAACAAGATAATATTTGTATAGTAGAAACGTCGAGCAAAAGACTGATTGCGATACACATCTTGTACCTGGTCCCTGATGAAGTTCTAGGGTATCTGATCCCACATCAGTCTCATGGACTCTATGTTGCCTCTCATGCCTCAGTATTTCTCAATACTGAACTATGTGAATACTCTCTCAGAAATATATATTATTTTAGATCATCTATCATAACAAACAGCACGCGCGTTATTTTGATTTTAAGATTAATGATCATTTATAATAAAAGTATATATGAATAAATATGTATATAATCATTTTCTTAACTACAGAATCATCACTCCAGCCTGCCATCCAAACATAACAGTAATATATATATATATATATATATATATATGTATATATATATATATATATATATATATATATATATATATATATATATACATATATATATACACATATATATACACATATATATACATATATATATACATATATATATACATATATATATACATATATATATACATATATATATATATATATATATATATATATATATATATATATATATATATATATATATATATATCCTCTCTGCATGGACTGTATAACTAAATAAACTGTTGCAACCCCCCCCCCCCCCTCCACAAACAAAAATAAAGCTTTATAACGCTGGAATTGTAAAAGACTTGACAAAAACTAAAATATCCAAACAATAAAAGTAGCCAAGCTTGTTTAAGGTGTAGATATGTAATCCCAGGTCTAACACACGCTGGAAGGCGTGATTCACCACATGTGTGTAACATACAGTACTGGGAGTGATTGTCTTCTTTCTCCAGCCCTCAACAAACTTGATAGTTCAAAATGTGAACTTTTGGGGGGTACTGGTCGGGGGTACAGTACTTTTGGGGGTTCTGGTCAGGGGGACAGTACTTTTGGGGGTTCTGGTCAGGGGTACAGTACTTTTGGGGGTTCTGGTCAGGGGGACAGTACTTTTGGGGGTTCTGGTCAGGGGGACAGTACTTTTGGGGGTTCTGGTCAGGGGGACAGTACTTTTGGGGGTTCTGGTCAGGGGGACAGTACTTTTGGGGGTTCTGGTCAGGGGGACAGTACTTTTGGGGGTTCTGGTCAGGGGGACAGTACTTTTGGGGGTTCTGGTCAGGGGGACAGTACTTTTGGGGGTTCTGGTCAGGGGGACAGTACTTTTGGGGGTTCTGGTCAGGGGTACAGTACTTTTGGGGGTTCTGGTCAGGGGGACAGTACTTTTGGGGGTTCTGGTCAGGGGTACAGTACTTTCGGGGGTACTGGTAGGCCTGGTCAAGGACCGGGCCACGGGGACACTAAGCCCCGAAATCATCTCAAAAGATAACCTACTGTGGGAACCGACCTGTGAGATTTATATTTATTTAATTTATATGAATTTATATAAAATTTATATTTACGTTAATTTATATATTTAGATAGCAATTCGTATGATGTTTAACGGACTGTTTTTCTGCAATATTCTCACAACTCAATTCCTTGCACATTAGGAGGGTTATATTAAATTTATATATTTGCAGCCAATCAAATTACAGTATTAAACTACATATATTAATAAATAAATTGAGGTGCCTTATCTTATTGTATAGTAGGCCTAGTCCACCGGGTATAACTAGGATGTAGACACCAAATAATCCTCGTGTGAGGCTAGCTTCCAACACCCGAGTAACTGATGTACCAAGATTAATTCTTGCTTCCTCTTCTATAATTCCTGTCAAAGGGCACTAGCTGTAAAGCCGGAATCCTAATATATGACAGCTATATCAGATGAAACATTTGTTACATTATTAGATAAGGACCAAGGATTAATTACCTAGGTTGAGTCGTTGCCTCGTGTTCTAACAGGAATTAATCATATTTACCTAACATTACTGGCCAATAATGACTAAATAGGAATTCGGAAAGACACTTCCCTTGTTTAGACGGTGACTGCGTGTTAATGATGGTAGAAGCACTAATTTAATCTCCATAACACTGCGTCCAAGGGAACTTACAGAAGCTGAACTCTCTCCCCAGCGACTCTGTTCTTAACCATGGTTGACCTCCCTCACCACTGACGCCTGGCTCTCCTTGTCCAGATGTCAATAAGTGATAGAAGGGTCACATTTACTCTAATTTGATACTGATAATTATGTTAATTCAAATGAGATGTTTTTATGATGTTATAAGTCCAAAGATTACTGTGTTAATAATAATTCCCAACAGAATAGCTGGTGAATTTATAGTGCCATTTGGCAATAATATCTGATTTTCTATTGACGGAAAACTCCACTGCGCCACGTCTTCTATGGGAGAATTTATATATATATATATATATATATATATATATATATATATATATATATATATATATATATATATATATATATATATATATATATATATATATATATATATATATATATATATATATATATATATATATATACAACACAGCAGCAATATTATCTGCCTCTTGTATTGAATATTAGTAAATGGTGTCGGGTTTTCCGACAGGTACAATAATCAATGTTTTGCACACTACATTCACTGTCGCTTCATTATTATCATTCTTCTTTGTATGAATAGAGAAATCATAAAAAATATTGTGAGAATGTTGTGTATTTAAGACATTCTCGAGGACTACCGTAAGAATGTTGTGTATTTGAAGACATTTTCGAGGAATACCGTAAGATATTCACGAGGGCTATCGTATGAATGTTGTGCATTTTGAGACATACTCTAACATACTCTTGTTTTTATCACAATTATTATCTAGCAACATTAGTATTAGTTTTGTCGTGCTATCAAACATGTATCAATAATTTCCAATTGAAAACGTATACTGCACATACATTCGCAGGTGTTGTGACTAAGGAACTCACTATCAATGAACATATGATCAGTGAGATCTCATGATAGCATGTCTGGATAGCATGTCTGGGTGTTGATATATGGTCCTGGCTCTATCTTCAATAATTCCTCAGAGGAAGCGTCCTTTGTCAGCGCTTGAATACCATACAAAGGCGTCGCTTTGGTCATAAGTACAGGGACGGTATAATAACGGTGCCGCATCTGGGCAACTGAGTCCAGGCATGAAGACTTTACCTTCAGAAGGACATAACTGCTTTGGAGAGAATTCAACACCGGGCGATAAACATTCTCCCAGAAATAAGTTAACTCTCACACCAAGAATTGTTGACCGAGTTAACAACATTGCAAACCAGACATGATAAGACTATCTCATCGAAACCTTAAAATACCGAACAGAAATATCCAGACAACTTCTTTAAAAGGTCAAGTTCAACACAAACAATAGGCTTCAAGCTCAACAAGCCACATTATTGGTCAGAAAATAGGATATGCTTTTTCCACACACAGGGTTATAAACCCATGGAACTGCCTACCCGTCGAACCGTAACTGCCAAAGTATTACTACAGTTTAAAATTCCCATGGAATTTTTTTTTAGCAGTAATGGGGAGGACCTCTGACAAGCCGCCGGTTTCCTGTCCCCCATCGTGACCACTAAGGGTGGTGGCCCTCAGGTAAATTCATGTATCTGAATATAAGGAAGCCTAGTCATCGCTCATGTCCTCTGTTTGAATTCCACATAAGTAAATGCTTCACCCAAATAGGACAAAAAAATTATTGCCAGCTAAACATAAATACCTAGCTAAACCTAATGTAAGCCTAACTATACAACAAATTTCAATATATAATAACTTATACTTGATAAAATACTGATTTTAAATACAGAACATGTTTGAAAATTTACGACTGAGGCTTTGGGGTGAGCCATAACCTGAGCGTTGTAGATGTAAAACATATAAGTTGTTTACAAAGTTTGGTACTTTGTAAACCTTTCCTTGTTGTGACCATTCTTGACCAGGTTGGTGGAATAACTCTATTGGTCTCATACTTTTGAGGAACGAGCATAAATCTCCGATGATTCGGCGAATGAAATAGGTTAATGCTCGGTAATCCAGCTCCCAAACCAAGTGTTTATGAGTAAAGAAGATTTTACACACAAGAGATTACGTGAGAGATGTTGTTAGTTTCTCTTGCGGAGCTCAAGGCCTCTCAATACTCCACGCTAGTGCTGCAAACACAAATAATTGCCCACAGAAACAAAACAACTACCTCTCCTAAGACTAACTACACAAAGCTGTAATAAAAATGTATTAATATATATTGGAGACTTATCGGTTTTGGTTGCACAGAACGTTAAATGTGACGAATGCGTCTTTGGTGGCGGCTGGAGGAAACCTAAACACATAATCTATCTTAGTCTTTCCTTGTAGCCTAACGCATTCTGATCAGCGGCGTGAGGATGGCATCATCATCGCTTCACACACACTGCCTTTATTTACGTGAACACACATACCTGTGTGTGATTGATCAAAATTCCTGTCTATCTCTGCTTACGTCCACGTCATAAACATGCTATATTTCCTTTTCCTTTTACATTGAGATGTGTACGTAATCCACAGAGCCGGACTGGAGTGTCCGGACACCATGGCGACGGGTCAATACAAACACAACTCTTTCATCACTTTCCGCTTTACACTATTTACGGCTCCAACTATGTAGTTTGCTTAATAAATCTTTCCTAACAAAAAAAATTGAAAATGTTCGACGATCGTAAACGCGACTGATGCAATAAAAATCCATGTATCGACCAGTTGTATCTAGTGAAGAGGTTCCGAGTTGCTCATCTTGTCTTAAATATTCAAAACGGTCCGGACCAAGGGGTACTTACCGTGGTTAGTGAGAATTATTAATGCCTGCCGAATAGTGGACACAACCTCACGTAGAGCAATTTTACCGTGTTGCAAAATAACCACAGCGTTAATTGAACATGTGTGTGTGGGAACTACCTTTACCTAAATGTGCTCACCTAGATGGGCTTACAGGTAAGGGGCGCCTGACAGCTGGGTGGACAGCGCTTCGGATTCGTAAGAAAGAAAGAAGTTAGAAATGTTCGGAAGACAGAAAGTTAGGGAGACATGATCACGACCTATACAATACTCGGAAGATTTGGCAGTGTAGATAAATTGTTTAACACTGGTGGTATGCGAACAAGGGAACACAGGTGGAGACTGAGTCCCAAGTGAACCACAGGGACGTTAGAAAGAACTTTTTCGGTGTCAGAGTAGTTAACGGATGGAATGCATTAGGCAGTGATGTGGTGGAGACTGACTCCATACATAGTTTCAAATGTAGATATGATAGAGCCCAGTAGGCTCAGGAATCTGTACACCAGTTGATCGACAGTTGAGAGGAGGGGACCAAAGAGCCGAAACTCAACCCCCCGCAAGCACAACTATGCAAGTAGAACTAGGTGAGTACACTGGCTGGTGGGAAGAGGACGAGAGATGCTAAAGTTCAATGATCAAGTTAACACCTTGGGGGTGAAGGTTGGCCCCACAGTGTGGTGGAACAGCCTCCTGCTCTACAACACGGGGGACCAAGGCGGCAACAGCGGTGCTTCGCAGCCCTGCCCGGCCGTCACAGGTGCAAAACTTAACATACATATAAGTAAAGGCAAGGACCGAGGCCTGGGTGAAGGGGTCATGAGGGTGAAGGCTGGGACCGAGGCCTGGGGCCATGTTTGGCTGTTGTCAGGCCAGCAGGTGCTTCATACATCACTAATGAGGACGTCACTCACCTCGGGTGCTTGACTGACCACATACCATCACTCAGGCCAACCTTTCATCAAAAATGATAGTATCTATAGTTACTGTGGATAGAAGTACAAAATATGGACTGTTGTACCCAAAGTACGTTTTGTACAGATGACTTTGTAAAGAGCGCGATAAAATAATGAAAACTATCATTTTCTAGATCTAGTACAGTCCATATATCTACTAAATTAGGCCTAATACTTTATATGTTATGCCTAGGATGGCTTATTTAGACCTAGGAGAGGTTAGGTTAGCTTTATGGTTACTGTGTTCCGCTTTTGTTGTGCCTATTAATGCCGCAACACGTGAACTTTGTAGAGTAGAACACGCCATAGTGTGCACAGTCCAGCCACAGTAAATATTGGTGCTTTCATTTCGCAAGTGTGTAGTCATTTATTATGCACCTCATACCCATGTCGAAGGCGGTGGTGGAAACCGTTAGAGGCACACAATGGATCCAAGAACTGAACCCCGACAGTTCATTTAGCTAAGCAAGTAACAATCTTGTGACGCTAGTTACACAATTTTTTTTTTAATATTTACATATTTCTTGAACACCACTGATGGAGTTATCTCTGAATTCCGTGATTTGTCTCGCATTCAATTATATAATGACAAGTATGTGAATAGTTCTGCAGACAGTTTACATTTAGTCAAGTCTACATCAGCAGGTGGTGCAAACTGCCAGAGGTAATTGTAGCCGAACCTAACCCTAGCAGTGGTAACATCTCAAGATCTGCTAACCTTATTGGATGACCCATAGACGTGCGGTTCTTCCTGCATAATTGAATGAATGATACATGTAGGAATTGTGAATTGCCCCAACATTCGGAGACCAATATGGGAAGGAATCCATAGGAGACTGAACTCTTAGTCCATCTTAGGAAAAACTCCACTTATGCTAAGTTAGAATATACTATATATTAGCTAGTTATGGCCTATAGGGGTATCATTGAACACTGGAGCATATGGTCCATTGGTGGCACACTGTAGAAGGAGGATGGCAGCTCTGATAGAGGGCGGCCCCTGAGAGCACCTCCTGTACCATAACCAACTCTCCCTCCCACCCTATGGTACCCCCAACCCCACACACCATGCTGGGGTACTCACCCGCGCCACGGGCCCACGGGGGAGGCCGGAGGGAACGATGTTGTACACATCGGAGGTGTTGAAGCCCATGTCTGCCACGGTGGAACAGTCCCTCGGCATGGGGCAGTCTGCACCGAGCAAAATTCATATGAAATCATGTACTGGGGAAGGCTCTTAATCAAATTTTACAAAATTTCTGACGAGTGAAAGAATATTTATATTAAAATAAATTGTCAGAAATTCAATGCAGTTTCGATTACAAGTAACATTTTAATACAACATGAAAGTAATTTATTTGACTATAATTATGTTTCAAAGATATCATCCCAGACCAGACCTCACTCCTAGCCTGTCCACACTGACCTGAACAGCTGTGCCTCACCTTCATCACAGACGTCGTAAACATTACTCCACTGCCTCAGAAGGCACTGAGAGAGCCTGTCTGGCTCTCCTGAGAGCCACACCAAGGGCGCCACACACTGGTAGTAGTAGGCAGCGTTGTCGACTATGGTGGTGGTGGTGGTGTTTGGTGGTGGTGTTGACGGTGACGAGCACACACCTACACTTACAGAACCTGTCCATACAAAGATGTCTGAGTTATTACTGAGGCGGTACTTGTATCACTGCAACTTTACCCATCTAAATGTGCTTGCAAGCTCGACTGTCAGTAGGTGGTGGGAACAAACACAAGGGAAGGGAAATAAACACAAGGTGGGGGACCTCACCACAGCTGACGTTATCCTCCAGCTGGCCTGGGCCACACTGCGTCTGATAGACGACGTCTCCCGTGCTCCACAGTCTGCCGGAACACAACCACAAGGTCTTGTCCATCTGTGTTTGTGTCATCCCGGAAGATTGAAGTGGGGTTATGCAGCTCAGGCCCCTGACGCCTCTAGGTCCTACCTCCCCTCCTGTTGCCGGAGAGAGAAAAAGGAAGCGGCGGTTAGTGTGTGGGATATACTATGCAGCAGCGGGGGCACACAATATATTATAATGCGGTATTAAGGCAGTGTATGTTGCATACACACAGGTGTATTATGACTGTCAGCTTCTGAAGCCCGTCTCTCAGCCTCCACCACTGGGTTCTATCGTCTTTAGTTTCCTAGCGAGTGTGTAGAGTCTTCCTCTGCTGGTTCACTCTTCACTTCCCTGACACTGAATAACAAGTTATGTATCTCACTTGGGTGTTAAGTCTTAATTAGCGCCCCATTTTTCGTCCCCCTTACAAGTCAAGCAATCTGTCCGTCTTTGTCGATTCCACTGAGTATTATATATATCATGATCATGTCTCATTTGTTTCTTCTCCTCTCCAGTGATGGGATTTTCATTTTTTTTAGTTAATTCCCATAATTCATGACACACACCATTTTGGCTGTGGATCAGGTTGGGTTACAGCAGACTTGAATCTCAAGTCAAAGATATGTCTCAAAGATATAATCTCAAGTCAAGGGGGCGTCTGGTTCCAAAAATGCAAAAATGAAAACTCGTTCGATTTCAATCAAACTTTTTTCACATGCTCTATATGAAAAGTGTTTCATCTGGTCCAAGTTTCAGCATCGTAGCATAAATAGGAAGGGAGAAAAAAAATATTGAAGTAGTTGTGAAAATTATGCAAAAATGGTCAAAATCGATTATCAAACAAAAGTGTCAACTGAAATCATAGCTATGACTCTTTGCTATCACAATAGCATATATTAAACAAATATTATAATTAGTTTAATTGGAAAAAAAATTAATAAATAATACTTTTTTTTCTTAATTTTTTTTCCAATTAAACTAATTATAATATTTGTTTAATATATGCTATTGTGATAGCAAAGAGTCATAGCTATGATTTCAGTTGACACTTTTGTTTGATAATCGATTTTGACCATTTTGGCATAATTTTCACAACTACTTCAATATTTTTTTTCTCCCTTCCTATTTATGCTACGATGCTGAAACTTGGACCAGATGAAACACTTATAGACACACATTTCAATTTTTTTTTTCGGGCGATTTGCATCAAACTTACACACCTGACTGCACGTAAGCCTATCTGTAAGGATGCCAATTTTGGAGAAAATTGGTTGATGTCAACCTCAGCCACAGATTTTAGAACCTTTATTCATTTCTGTTTTTTTTTCAATTGACACAAACGTTTACAAAACTGTTTCATTTTTTATTCAATTTACATGAAACTTACACAGTATATGTGGAGGGCATGTCTCTACATTTACTAGATAGCATTTTTCTCTAAGTTCATTTATTGATTTTATAATAGCAATAAACATGCCATATTTGCATAATTTTTGGGGGAAACTTTGAAAATTTGTATTAGGAAAACTAAAGATGTTTTGGAAATTCTCACACTAGCAATCCTTTATTATATGCTAATGTGTCAGAAAAGTGTCACAGAATAATTATATCTGAAACGTGTGTTCTGAAGTGTAGACTTGAAAATGTGTAAAAAAACGTTGAAAAAAAAAAATCTCCCTTTCTATTTACGCTGCAGTACTGAAACTTGGGACAATTTCAGCACTTTTCATATACAACTAGTCAAAAAATATTGGTTGACACTGAACAACTTTTCCGAAACCCAACCAGACTCCTCCTTAAGTTTTGTCGGAGACAGGAAGCCTATCCCGAGGGTCGAGCCTGTGAACCTGTGCAGACGAGGAGTCACAATAACGTGGCTGAAAAATGTTGACCAAACCACACACTAGAAAGTGAAGAGACGACGACGTTTCGGTCCGTCCTGGACCATTATCAAGTCGACTTGATAATGGTCCAGGACGGACCGAAACGTCGTGTTTCTTCACTTTCTAGTGTGTGGTTTGGTCAACACCTGGGATCCTCAACTGTGAGTCCAAAACGTAGCCACTGTACTACCGAGACCCCAACGAGACATGACCACCCAGAAGCAGTTCTCATAACCTCTGACCACAACATGTTAGTACCTCTGACCACAACATGTTACTGGTGATTTTAACATTTGCCTGATGTTAGTGATGACTGTAACTAACAAGTCTTACTGACAACCCAGTATTGCTTAATCTGCTTACCATACACAGCCTATTCATACACGCTCACACAAATGCTTCCACCGGCCTCATACTTTGAGAGCCTACCTAAACTATTCATATGTATTTGGATCACAACACTTGACTGATATTACTGATGACTAACACTGACTCATGAAAATAGAGTAATTAACCTGGCACTTGACTGTGTCGTAAGAGGTGAGTGTAGGACCAATGTGTAACAGGATGAAAGTGGTTGGAGTAGCTACTACCACAACATAACCCAATGTTAACTGGTGAGTGTATGGTAACTTCTCACCTGAGAGTAGGAGAGGTAGGAGAGGAAGGAGGCGCCGCCAATCCATGCCCTCCTCGAGGGCCACCTCTGAGGGCTAGCCGTAGCAGCTCTTCTTGAGTGGGAGCGTTGAAGGCGAGCTTCAAGAATGCTATGCTAGGTTGGAGGAGGTTAGAGGTGTAGCGAGACTGAGGAGAGGTGTGCAGGGTGTGGTGGCTGGCCCCGTAGTGAACCCAGCGCTGCCTGTGGGGGGCAACTTCACCTGTCTTCAAACCCCTCCCTTTCAGTCCCCACCCCGCTTAACTCCCCCTTTTTCTCTCTTCCTTTCCACCCTTTTCCCCTCTCCCAATCCGCAGCTTTTCGCACTATAACCTGGAATTATAAAACAATATTAGTAATAGTGTTTTGTGCAGCTGTCCCAGCCTTCCCTGTACACGCGGCCCAGCTGAGAGCTGCTAGCATCGTTCAACCTGAGTAAGAATAACTGATATTATGTGACAATATTACTATGAATGTTTACTCTTGTTTAACAATATGGGTATTAACACAATATGAGCGACTACCAACATTACCCTGCTAACACTGTTGCTTGTGTTGGTTGATGTGTGCTAGCCGCCTCACGCCCCCGCCCTCCGCCAGTGCTCGCCAGAGCTGCCCGCTGCCTCATGCCTATTTTCATTATTTATACCAAAATTATGGTGTCAGATACAAATTTACGTTATAGTTTTGTGTATAATTAGGTGCTAACGTACTAGGCCTAATGTAGTCCGTGTATGTTGGGCCTATGATGCTTGGTTAAGCTTAGATGTATTAAGGTGTTGTATTAATATTTTATTAATACAACACCTTAATTTTTTTCTATATAACATATTTTTCTATATGTTATGTCAACATGTCGGACGAACAAATTTCAAAAGTACAAAATGAGAACCGTTATCCAAGTTGAACAGTCCGTTATGAACGAAGGTTTTGGGCGAGAGCGTTGCTAACACAAATAAACCACTGGATCACGTGACTAGGCCTAGCCTGGGACATTTCACAAAACATTACAAGTTCCACAGTTCCTCCTGACCTATATATATGACCTGTGTATATAACCACATGTATATATACATATACAAATCATTTTTTTCGTTAGACTAGATTATGAGTGAAGTCTAGTAAATGTGATTATACAGATAAGGTGGCCTGTGGAGGGCCGGCAAGAGCCCGTGACCAATGGTGGCTCCTGCAGAGGGTTGAGTGTGAGGTGTACAGAGGGCAGCTCACCACGTGGTTGTGGCAGCACTCGGGGTCAACCTGCAGGTGCTCCGTCAGTCCCCGGTTGGTGAGTTGTGAGGGCAGCGCCGTCTACAGTCACCTGCGGCCTCTGTCATGGCCTGGTCCTGCACACATGTCCCCTGGGGTAGCTGCTCATCCCCTGGTGGTGTGCTGGGGTGCAGGAGCACGCGGGTCCGGGCCCTGGCCTGTGGTACAGTAGGTGTAACACTGCTGGGGGACCCCGTCGCCCGGAGCTCTGTCGGGCGCCCGGCGGGCACCGAGAAATGAGGTACCTCTTGTTGTATATATTTTGATTCCTAACAGTACATGCATTACGGGCTCACTATATCCCGTGCTACATAGACATAGCTAAATCTAAAACAACAACAAATATACATGCAGTTCATTCTATGGAAATTTCCTGCTGAACTAATGAACCTAAAGCCTCCAGATCGTCACTACACACTCTCTTTGTCACTGTAACCATCTGCCCTACCCTTCACCACCTTCCCTACCCTTTACCACCTTCCCTACCCTTTGCTACCTTCCCTACCCTTTGCTACCTCTTTTCTTCACCACCTTCCCTTTAACCATCTTCCCCAAACAATGTCTTCGTCAAACTACATAAGAATAACAAATATTTAATCATCAGGTATGAAATAATATGCTTAATGAATCCTAGTGAGGATGTAGACTTTTATTTAGAGAATGGAAATTAGTGTAATTATTTTCTTTATTTAATAAAATACAATATAAATCATATATACATAAATTTTACAAGGCAATACTACATTACATAAACAGTAGTATAATTCTCAGTAAACCAGTGTTTCATATTATCACAGAGCATGAACTTTAAACCCCTAAATGTTATACTTATTACCATTTCATGCATGGGAGTAGGAGGGTAGGCTCCTCCAGCTCTGGTAGGCTACCCTAATCATTATAGACTTTTCCAGCCCTCGTAGGCTACCTCAGTCCGTGTAAGCCTTCCCCCAACACATGTAGTGTTGGGGGAAGGCTGGGTACACCAGCCCTTGTACTGCTCCTAACAAGCTTTTAAATGATGCATATTTCTTCATCAAATTTAATGTGTCGTTAGCTGCATATTTCATAGGTCCATAAACTTGATATATCTAGTTGTCAATAACTTTTATGTTCATCAATTATGTTGTTTATCTGAATATATATCTGCAACATTGCGGATCTTAGTTGAATTATGTATTTTAGAAGATGAGGCTATATTTTTTTTAATGAGCACTGAAGGGATCATATAATACACTTGTTAT